CTACTATAAATAAAGGAGAGATTCTTTTACTTTTTATCACTGAAGTCCTACAAACCAGGATTTGTCTGGATGCAAGCTGTCTTCCAGGTGGAGAAGCAACTTGCTGCCATTCTCTGGCAAAGCATGGCCAGCTTCCACTAGCTCTGGATGATGCAGCCTGGCTCACCTTCCCTAAAATGAGTGGTGAGTCTTCTGCAAGAGAAGGAGCTGCGATGAGTGAGTGAAGCTGGAGACCTGCCCTTGGCAGTACACACAGTAGCCCGCATGACGAGGAAGATCAAAGTCTCGAGTGAGGGGAAAAAAATACAACATGCAAGAAATGGAATTGTTGTTTATGACACACACATCACCCCAGTGAACTTTCTGAAGTACTGGCTGGTTTACATTTATTATCCCATAACCTTTAGGAACTCATTTCTTCAGCTCTTCCCCAAGATAAGCAGCTATATCCCTGCAGCCAGACCCTGCTACCTAGCCCTGGAGGCACCGTGGAAGTCCAGATGCACTGAATGGCACTGGCAAGCAGTGCAGGGACAGCTGCCAATGGGGAAGGAGGCACCAGACTCCCGGTGTGAGCAAGCTTTGGGCACACCAGCACCTGCCCAAGCTCTTCCTTGATTTTCCTGTCAATTTTCTTGTTGTGTTTTATAGCCTGGAGCACATCCCATATGTCCTGAGCCCAGAACGCCATCAGTGGGCTTAGAGCAAGCTCTCTTTGCTTAGAATGACATAGAGCTGCTGCAAGTCCCTGTCACCTTGGAGCTTCCTTTAGGGCAGAGGATCTGTCAGCCGCAGTAACTGTGCTTCCACAAAGTTTGGAAAACAGAGATTTTTCCTCTGAGACATTATAGCAAATGTTGGCTGTGATGAGACCAATTTACACTTTCCAAACCTTCCTGGTTCTAAGTTTGTCTTGCAACAGAGCCAAAAGCCGTATTACAAAAATGTCTGCAGATAGCCATTGTGTGTATAAGCATGTGCCCGAGTACAACCTGTGTGTGTGAGAGTGAGAACTATTACTTATAACTAGCAAAGAGACAGATCTACTACAACATGGTCACCAAGAAAGAGATGGTTGACTTGCTGGGTACAGCTTCTTCATTTATGAAGATGTTTAGTGAGGGTTTTTTTTACAGAAATTTCTATGAAGTCATATTTTCTGAAGATGGTAACTGTTGGTTCTTGCAGTTAGGAGCATTTTACATCCAAATACCACAAGCTGCTTTACAGAGGTGGGTCTCTGTTTGAAAGAAGAAGGAAGTTCGGGCTTGGTAAGTGGCTCTAGAGGGTGTTTGAAGCCAGTGGCAGATGTACATTTGCTATTAAGACTTACTGGTTTCTTGTGCTATCATAGAACCCACACAGAGACCAGGACTCCAATGTGCCAGTTTTTCAGAGTACAAACTTTACCTCTGCCTAGTCACTCCCCTGGAGAGCTGAGAGAGAGATCACCTGCTGCACTGCCACAGTGCCTTGAAAAGCAGCAACTAGGCTGTCTTAAACACACTTCAGAAAGCCTTTCTTTCACTTTGCTGGCACTGAACAACCTTAATTGCTAGGGTGCTGCATGGTAGAGGGTTGTGCAAACCAGAAGGGTGGCTCAGGAGGGCAGGACCTCCCTGGTGTCTTCTGGACCACAGCCTGGAGCTGGGATGCACCTTATTCCAGAGCAACCTCTTGGAAAGTAATGTTTTTTTACACTGGGAGTCAGAGCAGCACCGGGTGGCCTGACATCAGTCTGTCCTTGCACATGTATCCTTTCTGCAGCCTGGGGCTTGAGTGCACCTTGTTGCTAACAGGCATGTTGCTGTGTTCTATACCCTGCCTGCCACAGGGAGATCAGGGAGATGATAGTGCAGGAAAGAGGTGAGATTTTGCATTCTCAGGGTCGGTGATTTGCCTCACTGTGTCTGCTCTCTCACTTTTGCAACAAAACAGAACAACATACGAGGAGGATGAAAGCAAGTGTGCATGCTTCTAATGCCACAAACCAGGCACAAGGGTAGGACTCATCTTCAGGTATTTCCAGAAAGGAGGGGCAGTTTGAAGTGAAAGCCCACTGTTTAAACAGGAAAATTAAATACTGCTTGACAGTGCTTCTCCTGGTGGACTCATACTCTGCACCAGCACTGTGCCTCACTCCCATATGGAACAGATGCTGTTGTTATTGCTGCTCAGAGGCAGCAGAGATTAACAATTTCCATGTACAGATACTTCTTTGGCATTACATAAGCTGTGTATTTAACACACAGTAAATTTTCATTGCAAATTGGCTGCTGTGGGGTATTCACATTTTAAAAAATCCGTTTCCTTCCCAAGGCACACGGTTATGCTATAGCCTCAGTTTGATCTGATTATGAAAACCATACTAAAAAATGAAGTGTGTACGGGGCTGTGGGAGCCATCATTTAAAACCAAAATACTAAGAAAAATCCCAGGGCTCATCGTTAGTTTTCCAAGTCAGATGGCATGGAATAGTTATAACCTATTTGCTAGTTATAACCTATATGCTCATCTTTGATCGCGAGCATAGGAGCAGCAATTTAAGGCTGGGGTTCATGTGGCGCTGTCATAAGGCTGAAAAGATGCATGCAATGGATCATAAAAAGTTCTTTTAAGCCACCTACCATGAGCTGAAACAACACTGAGGTATAATATTCATGCTTATTCATCAGATTAGGGAGAGAAAAGACTTCAGACGTCTGTCTGGCTGCCTCAAAAGACTTCATTTTCATGCTAAGTGTAGTTTCAAAATGTCACCCTGAAAATGTGTGACATTTTAATGGGCTGATTGCCAAGATTCTCAAATCCATTAATCTGCATGCAAATCACAGCATCAAATATAATGGAAAAAGTACAAGAAACTAGAATTATAAGAGAATGCCTTGCATTCCCCTTGGTTAAAAATATGTCTCTTACAAATCTAAAATTACAAAGTCAAATGAGATTAAAAAAATGCTGTGGTATTCCATTTATACTGATAGCTGGTTGTGATTGCGTGTGGTCTTTTTTAGAGCTGTCTGTGAAAATCAGCCTGGACATGGCCTGTTCTTTCAGTAAGCCGCTGTGTTACAGCGTCATGACTGTCACTAATACAGCCCTTAGGACAGGTTGCATTCCCTACTCCATGTTTCTGATGCAGTTCCAGTGAAGACAGTGGGATTTCACCAACATCTTCTGATCATCTCCCTCCAACAAACTGTTTTCAGCTTGTTCTTAAAAATGATGGAGCCAAAACAAGCACCAAGGGCCGCCAATTCTGAAACTTCCATGAACTTCAATTAGAGAAAGCCAAGGAGCCTGCAGTATTCAATCAGCTACTGCATGCCAGGGTCCATGACTAGGCTTGTGGGAGTTAAGCACATGCATAAATACTTGTTGGATTAGGGTTTATGGTTAGACAAAAATCCTACCAGCTGAAACAAAACTTCCTATCAGGATCTAACTCTTAAACAGTTATACTGGGAGGAGAGTGCAGTCGAGTTCCTACAGCAGGTTTTCCCATCTAGTGTAACTAACTAGCTCAATGCAGGACTTGGTATATCCTAAGCAATTGTTTCTAGCTCCTGCACGGCTCGTTTGCTCTGGGAGCTGATTTGTGATGGAAATTTGCTTGAATTAAGATGGTAAATTTGATTTACTTGTGAAAAAGAAGTGAAGAATTCCACAGCAGAGCAATCTGGGTCACAATGTACTTTGGATTATAAGACTTAGTACAGAAATAAGGCCCAAACCACATAATTAAGATCCAACTTTCAAGCATCAAAAGTTTGAGGTTAATCAAAACTAGGGCTTAGTTCATCCATTCATGAAGATGTCTGTGTAGCTTGGAGCTGACCCTGTACTTGGATCTTCCCATTTCCTTTGGAGTCCCCCTGGACTGTTCAAATCCAGAGATCAGACCCTTTTCTAGTTTGGAGCAGAAAGCCCAAAACCACACACACAAAGCTGTTTAAAGGACAGCAACCTAGGCAGAAAGAGGAAGCAGCAGAGAGAGCTGGCCATGAGCTAGTCCTGGGTCCCTAGAAGCGTGCAAGTAGAAATAGGGTACAGAGGTGGATGTTTCAAGGTACTACTGTTCTCCCTGAGAGACTGGAGAGTACTCAAAGTAGTACAGTTTTATGCACAAGAAAGAGACCAGACAATGGCACTGGAGGAGAAACAAGAGTTAAGCTCAGAATTAATTTGCAGAAACAACAGGAGAATAAATCTGAATTTCCAGAGCCAGGATGCTGAGTTTTTGTTCAGGGCTGAACTTTGTAGTAGATACACTGCAGAGAGGCTGACCTTCCCAAGGTGCTTCCTGGGTCATGGGAGGAAAGACTGGCCCCCACCCGTTCATCTCTTTTGAAGAACAAGGTAAGACCATGCATGCAGCTTTGGACTTTGCAAAGGCAAAGCACTAATGTCACCCTTATTGCTATCACACCTAGCAAAGTTGATGGGGCAGCCTCAAGAACTGAGCCAAGGAGGACAAGAGCAATTTGCATCATGCTTCCCTGGCTGCATGCCTATGGCTGCCAGTGGGGGGATGCCAGCAAATGTGTGTGAATCACTGGTCTCATCAGCCACACTGTGACAGGAACTGATATTCACTGCTGAAACCCCAAGGCAGGGTAACCTTTCCCCAGTGGGAAAAGCCAGGATCAGGTGAGCAGCATGGTGGGGGCTCTCCTCTTGTAGCCATGAGGAAGGGGGTTTTTTCTGGCCTCCCCTTTGGCAATTTGGTGGCTGTCTGCACAAGTGCAGCTCTGGGCAGAGCTTGCCTCCCCGGAGCCAGCGATGGCTCATTGATGACAAAGTAAGTCATCAATAGAAGTGTAGATCTCTTGGTGTTGCACTTATGATGCAAGGCTATCACAAGGGATGTTTCTAGAGATTTTCCTCCAAGGCTCACCTCTCCTTTACAGCCCCTTGTATTCATTATGAAAGCGTTTGTCTTTAGGAACAGATACAGTTTTCACCTGAGCACACTAAAAAGAAAACAAGCACAACAGCCATTTCTGTAGAAGAATATATTATTTAGCAGATCAGTTTAAAAGTAAAAAAAAAAAAAAAATCTGTACATCTTTGAAGGTTTTTCTTGTTGGTGCTTTTTGCATCCACAAGGATAAAAATTTGCTTGCACAGTGGTTTCAGCTTCGTACTCCCTTTGCTCATGCTGAAGGATCCCATGATGTCTAGTAGTACTAGGCCACAGAAAGAACCTGCAAACTCACTGAGGTTTCTTCTGACTTCTTCTAGTGTAGAAAAAAAATATGCATCCACTATGCTGGGCTTCTGAATGTACTGTGAACACTATAAAATTCAGAGAGTAATACAGAGAAATGTGTCATTAGGGCCTAATAGGCAAACAAAAATCTATGCCAGGACCCTTGTCAGAATATAAGCATCTGTTAAGCTATGCTGTAATTAGCATACTGCTGTACACATATATGTTGTATCTTGACTAAACCAACTATTTCGTTTGGTTTTGGGTGCCAGTGGGTTGTTTTCCAGAAAAGGCTCCTTAGCTAAACTGCTTTGTCTCTACACGCTGCAGGCAATGTGGTCACCAGAAAGGCAAATCTGCTGAAGATTTGAGCTGTGCTGAAACCCGTGCAATGTGTGCAGCAGAGGACATGCCGGAGCATGGGGAATCCTTGGTGCTGATGCTGGCAGTGCCAGTGTGAGCAGGCTGCAGGCTGTAGACAAGGCGCCCAGGCAGGCAGACAGGTCTGTGAGGCATCTGTGCCTGCCATCACTCTGTGTACATGGTCCCAGTTGGATTTTGATGTAGCCACCGTGTTTGGCAAACACAGCACTTCTCAAAACCAGAATAACCTCAGGGCTTGTGTCTTGTTCAGACTTTTTCATCTCACTTTTCAGTACTTCCAGTGGTCAAACTGTCACTTTTCTTTTTCTGCAACTGAAAGGAAGAGCAAAGGAGCATTAATACCCTGACTCACGCAGTGCTGCTTTGCACTGCTGCTGTCAGTCAAAAGCTCATCTCTTCACAAGGTATGTGCAACACTGCTTGGGAAATAATAGGCAGCATCTTGGTATATCACAGGCACCGTTTCATCTGAACTCCTCTGGATGTATGTTCTGAGTAAACAGAGCTCAGTCTTTCTCATCATCTGCCATGCAAGGCTCTTAGATTATTAACTAACTCTTCTTGCTTCAGGATATTTCTGAATTCAGGCAGCTCCTGTTTTTCTAAGACCCTTGTGCCAATGCACCATAATTAAAGCTCTGTCAGTTTGTATAGAATTTCTGTTTGACAGATTCTGTAAACCAGAAGGAAAATCTCAGCTCAACTTGAAACATGAGCAGGACTCAGGAAGTTTGGCAGTCATATTTGAGTTCTTCTTCCCTCCTTAGGGAAATGCTCCTCTCTAAACTACAGAATGCCTACAAGACTTTCTTATCCTGTATAACTTAGTGTCCTCAAAGTATGATCTCTTTGATTAATTTGTGCTGCTGAAGGGCTCTTTCTCCTAAGCACTTGGGAGGAGGTGGCAGCTACACCAAGGATGATCAAGTGAACAAATCTTCATTTCCCACGTATCAAACAATGTCAGCACAACTACTGTGCCAGGGCACTTCGCAATCTATTTTAATGACAGATAAATTTATATTTAATTAAATACAAATATTTAATGACTGATAGTATCCTGTCTACATGATCAGTTTTTTCATGTCAGAAAACATCTCTGCTGTGATGCCATTTGGGCAGGTTTTGTCGTCTGCCTCAGCGTGCAAGGGAGTTGGGCAGGCTCGGTGTCACAGGCTGCAGGATGCTGTGGGAGCCAGGCCAGCCTGCCAGCTGCTGCACTGTGGGCAGCTCCCAGGGCCTGGCTTTGGTGTCTGCCCTGCCAGGCTCCTGAGGCAATGCAGACATGGTCAGAGGCAGCAAACATGGTTAAGTATATATCCTACCTCCCCTGAGCATTAAATGTCAAAATGAGAGACACTGTAAATGGAGGCTGCCACTCAGCATGGGCCATAATATAGCTTTGTCGGTTGTGTGTTTAATCCTACTAGTTGCTGTGTATGAAAGAGTAATTCCTCATAAAATTTCAAGCACGTGAAGTGCTTCCACACATGAGTGGAAGTTTCTTCCTAGAAAACAAACTTATGGATTGGTGGTGTGGTGCCTTGAGCTGCCCAGCCCCAGCACATTTTGCAGCAATGTAGCCCAGGATAACTCCTTCCCAGGGGAAGGCAGCTCCCTGCAGGAAGAGGTGTTTGATAACGCGCTCTGCTCAGGCAGTAACTTCTGGGTTTTGGTCTGAGGCCCCTCTCTCGCGAGCAGCTCCCTTCCCGTGGCTGTACCTGTGTGGTGCCTGGTGGACTTGGCAAAGGCATGTTTGTGTGCACACTTGCTGCTTGTGGTACACACCCAGCCAGGAGTAACCATGGTGTTTCTCATGGTAATGAGATTATGCCATCAGTATTCCTAATGTTTCAGAATTAAGCTGCTACTAAATTATAATGTTTGACCTATTCAATCCTAATGTTTGCTTTATCAAAGAGATATTTAGAGCTTACCTCTTTCATAGCATCATCTATCTGTTTTAATTCCTCATAGTGGTCCCTCGATTCCCAAAGGGGCTGGAGCATTACCTCCTCCACTTCTGGGAATAGCTGGGTGAAAATAAGGAAAGAATATCAATATTTCATTTTGTATTTATTAACTTGTATGTGCTGGAAATGGGGTGAAAGGCAGGGTGTGAATTGTACATCCCCATTTCCCTGGCTAGCTAGACACCTGAAGCAACAAATGCTGATGCTCTGCATGCCCCGCTTCTGCTTCTGGCCTTGGGTGGCTTACCTTTGTTACTGTTTCAAACATGGGGATGAGAACAAACTTCAGAAAGCCAATCTGTGCTGTCGGCTTGGTCACTTTGTCACGGTCCATGAATGGTGCCACTGGAAGCCCCTCAGATTTTTCTCGATCACTCTGGAACAAATCCAGAGAGAACAAATATTAATCGTGGCTAGAAGCCTTTAAGGATAGTAATGTAACAAGCATTAGCTTGCTACTAGCTAAAGAGCAGCAGGCTTCAGATACAGGTCTCAGTGGTGTCTGAAGATAGCACAGAATAGAAATAGGTTTCCCTTGGGCCAATGCATCCTTCATTGTTTAGTGCAAGTTTCTGAATAGAGAACTCTGTTCAGTTCTGCACAGCACTGGCATGAAAACGTTGACCTCCAGGCTTCCAGGTCAACAAGGCCACTTGATTCCTTTTCCAAATCTATGAGATTTATGAAGTGAAATATTTCAGGGCACTCAGAAGGGTGGTAATGGCTCTTGCCACTCTGGAAGAGAAAGAATAGGTCTTTGATTTCCTCATCATTTTCCAGAGAGTGATTATTTTCAGGTATTCAATGAGAAATTACACCTTCTTTACTAATTATTAAAACTAGTTCTGGATACCCAGGTTGATGGAGGGCAGTTCAATTGACTGTAAAAAAGTTTACCAAGCTACATACTTGATCACAAAACTTACTGTGTCTATGTGTGTGGGTTCATGTGCAAGGAGGTCTTAGACAGTGTATGCAAAAAATACATCCCGTAGCAGATTTTCTCTCTCAATTACTCGGTCTTTCGGCACATAGTGTCTTTTCTGGATAGCCAAAATAGTAAGGTACATGGATACTGTAATTTTGAGTAAAAAGCTGGAAATGCAGTGGGCTAGAAGTGTTTCTGACACATCATCCAAGAGATCTTCTTGGCATGAACCCTATCCAAATATAGACAAAACAGAAAAGATAGCTCTGGCATCTCCTCCTTGGAGCACTGCAGCTATGTGTTGACTGAGATCCCACTGCTGCAGCATGTACATGCAGGGATAGCTGAGGGCTTCTGTTCCAGGGATCTTTTTTTAAGCAATCAGAAACTGTGTTCAGCTGGGAATCCAGTGAGCAGCAATGGTTTGTGGAGCTTAAAGTCTGACTTTGCAGACTGTGATGTTCACGTGCAGCAAAAAGTATCTAAACCAGTTCCTGTGTGATATTTGGTAATTTACTTGACAAGTTTCTCTTGCCATTGCTCTTGCCCTTTTGTCTCAATAATCATTTATATGTCAAGCAAACTTGCTTTACAGAGAATAAGCTTAAGTCTGCTAGCATTAGGATTTCTAGGTTGCTGCTGTATTTCATCTGCAAATTACATTCATTTGCTTTCTGAACAGCTTCTCTTGCTGACATCCTTCTCCAACTTTCTGCAAAAGTCTTCGCATCCTAGAACTAGACTGGTCTGTCAGAGATGGAGCACCTGTAGCTGAGGTGGAATTCAGGAAGAGCAGCCCTCCCTCCTTCTTACCTGCATAAAGTATTCCTCTAGTAGGCAATCTACCCAGGGCTCTGCTACTTCCATCGGGCGGACTTCATTGGAGATATCACAGCATTTTATCAGTACCATCTTCAGCTGAAAGAGGGTAATAATTTAATACTGCAGTCTTAATGCCAACCCTTTTTTTTCCCTACTCAGAGCCTTTCTCTTTATGAAGCACTGGGAGGCAATGTTTTCAAGCAGAAAGGACAGTTTTAGGATGAAATCAGAGGCCTTAAATGATCTGGATTCTTTTCCACTCTCTCAGTTACTCTGTAAATCACTTATCGCCTCTCTGCCTTGGTTTCCATGTCTGTGGCACCGCTATGTGTCACAGTGGGACATGTGCTTATCTGCTGTATGAAGAGATTCAGCCACAAATGATCATGAGGTTGTTCGTGGAGTACTCAGAGGTAGCTGGGGAAGACTCCCTGGACATCAAAGATGACTGGATTGGGAAGTAGGGGAGACTAGGGTTTGTACTCTTGTGGGTACTTTTTGCCCCACCATAATGGACAAGATGACTTTGTGACCTGACAGAGTAAATATAATTTTTTTCTGATGGGACTCCAGGATTTCTAAAGCTGGAATAACCTGCTTTATATAGTGCATTTTCAAACTGCAGTTCTTTTTGGTGGGGCAGAGAATGTAAGAAGGATTTATGTTTTTTAATAATGTATATTGAATCTTGGGTTTTAAACAAACAAATTTCAGTCTACAAGCTTTCACACTGTGCATAGAAAAATCATAATCCAGAAAACCTCTTACACAGGTCATGTGTTCTTCATTTGAGTAATCAAAATTTTCCATTTTTTCCTTGAAAGAGTCCAGTATTTCTGCATGTCTCGCCATGTCTGTAGCCAGGATTAATGTAATTATCCCCTAGCAAAGAAAACATGTTCACATATTAACTTGACATTCTTTACAAAGTCTGCTATTACAGAGCAAAGTAGAGTCTTTCTTACACACAAAAAGCCTCAGATGCAGTACACAGTTAATACCTAAAGGGGAAATTTCTGACCTGAAACTGCCAAGCAAATTGGGAGAGGGTTATAAAGAGTTCATGGTATATGAAGATACTGGTTGGATTGGCCTGGAGGATTTGTGTGATATTCCAGAGACATTGAGGGTTTTCTTTTCTGATTGACTAATTGTGGAAAAACGAACTGTACAACAAGATGTTCTGCTTGCCAAGATCCACTACTGGCTCCTTGGAAAGCACTACAGATTTTGCTGCTGACTCTTAAGGGCCCTAGGAAGAGACAAAGATCAGCAGACATAGGTGTCCTCTGTGCTCATCTTCCTTGGATTAGGAGTTTTGAAATACCCAGATGCAGACAATGTGTTAGGAGCTTGGTATCCTCCTGCTAGGTTGAGTTTGTGATGGGTAAACATGATCAATTTAAAGTTAAAGGTTTCCATACAGATCTGTCCATTTTGGGCTCACGCCTGCTTCCTGTACACTGGCAGAATCAGTAACTCCAACCAGACAGGTATCTGAACCCTTACAATGGTCTGCTTTTTTATTTGGTGTGTAACGAAAAGCACAAATGCTTTTTCATTTGTGTGAAAACTAAGCCTGAATTTTGGCCCTTACAGCTCTAATGGGAATTGTAGCATTGTTCACTCTCTGTTCACTCTCTCAGAGATAACTGCGATGACTCCCAGTCCACCAGAGCCTCTTCCAACAGTACAAGTGCTCTACTGTTGTAAAACTTTTCTCAGTTTGAAGTCTCTTTTAATATTAATACAATGTTCTCTTAAAGCATAAACTTCTGCCATGAGAACTTAATCCTTTCCCAGTCAGACCTAATTGGCTCCTTCAATAATATAAATGTCTATCCCCCAAATGTCATAGGCTTTAATAGTCAGGATGTACTCATTATTTCTCAGCAAGACATTCCGGGGAGTGCTGCTGTGGAAATTTTCCAAGAATCCCTCTTGAATCCTTACAGTGTGAGGGGCTTTTTCAGTCCTACCCTCTAGGGAGAATGAGTCACTTGCATTCTACAACAGGGAAGTCTGTGAGTGCTTTTGTCTTCAGGAACAGTTTGTATGACAGAGGGGAACAGCATTCATACCTGTCTTATCTGTTTGAATTGGTCCTGGTTAACGTTGGAGAAAATGTTGTATTCTGGCTGGGAAATGATCTGGAAAGCCACAGCACAGTGGTGGTTCTCCAGTGGGGAGATGTCATTGTAGCGTACCGCAAGCTCAGTTCGTGCGTTTATCTGATAGCTGATGAGAAGAGAAACAATGAGAACTCCTGCAGATGCACACCAGCTGCTCTAAACCATGCTGCTTACTTTTATTTACATTCTTTTCAATACTTATTCAATTAGATGCAGTTTGCTTTTTGATTGTTAATACCAAATCAGATGTTTTGAGAAGATAGATTTTATTTTAATATCATCTCAGGCACTATTCCCCTGTAGAAGTTGGTTTTGGTTTGGTTTGGGTTTTTTTAGACTTTTTATTTTTTTTTTTTTTTTTATTTTACCATGTGTCTGTATCTTAAAATGACATAAGACAAAGAAAGAAAGAACTGTCTGGGGTTCATTCAACCCCCCACTAATATTAACAGAGAGATTCTTACTGATCCCAGTCAGAATTGGGTTCTGCCCTTATTTAACGAATGGCTACAAATAAATTAGATTCTCTTTTGTTCACACACACATACATGCACACAAAAGTGCCCATGGGTCAACAATTATCATTTCATCACATGATAATAAATAGAATAACATGCACTTCATTATTTATAATTATGAAATACTGTGGAAGTTAAATCATGGTTTGCATTTTCATGTAATTATTCCATTTCAGTCAATAGAGCTATAATAAGTTACTCCTTCTCTCTCATCATACAACATTTTACCTTATTTTCTCAGCAGTGAGGGAAAGTGTTGGAATAGAAACATGGAAAAGCATTTTCCTTACAGAGCCAAGGACAATTGGCAGCCCCAACCCAGACCTGAGTTTTGTGTGTGAAGCTCTGCCTTGGATTTTGTGGGCTTTGGGGAAGGTCACTGCCAGCTCAAGCCATGAGAAGGAGAACTTGATCTACCAAAACTGCAGCTGATATTACCTTCCCAATGAATTTTAAGGGACAGACTTACGTATTGTTGTAGCCTGGATGGTCCAGGTCATGGCACACTGCTGCAGTCATGAGAATCAAGATGTCAATTTGGGAAAATTTCTCCTATAAAATACAGAACATACAGTAGTATTATGCTTTCTACTTCCCCTATCCCCATAAATGAATATAAGTGAAAAACCTGCCCACATTTACTTTACAGAGAAATGAAAATCTGAGCAAAATGAAGTGTTTTTCCACAGATCAATTTGCTTCAGTCAAGAAAGAATTCTGCCTTCCCTTCCAGTAAAAATGACTCAGATTTGCCTTTGTTGCACTAAATAACAGCAGCTCAGAGGAGGCAATTTGCTTGAAACTTGTTATTACTGCAGGGATCATATAAAAGCACTGAAATATTAGTATAGTCTCTTACAAGTCATGAGAGCATCCTGATTAGCTAGGGGAGGGCTGGAAGATAGCTAGTTGGCATTCCGTTCTGCGTTAACTAAAGTTATAAAAAGAGTGAGAAAAATTAAGTGTTGCATTCCCAGTTTCCGAATAGGGCAAACTTCCATTAAAGAAAGTTTTTCTTCACACTCCTACTAGCAAGAAAATACTTATGCCAGTAACTGAGACGTTTAACTATGGAGAAGACAGGGTTTTTTTACTGAACAAAATCTGGCTTGTACAGAAACAAAATGAATATATAGACATGAGTTATTCAGCCAATGAAAATAAATTATGCCTGTAGTTTTGAGCAATGTACAGGTTGAATGAGAATCTTGCATACTGTACATGCAAGGCATTATTTGAAGTAGCTCACCCAGGTGCAAGCACACATTGGGGAAAACCTCTTCTGGGAATATGATGATGAAGACCATATCCCCAGACCATAATTCATCAGGCTTTAGGATCTGATTCATTGACGTTTCATGCTATCAGAGTGTCAGAAGTGCTTCAGTGTACAGATTTGGGATAGCCAGGAGGTGAAGGTAGCATCCCAGCAGCCTCAGAAAACAGTACAGGTGCTTGAGGTCTGGGATGGGATGGCTGAGTGGGCAGACAGAGGTGGAAATGAAACACTTCCTCCTTGCCCCAGCGTCTAACCAGTGCAGCTATTGCAAAGTTCACCACTCAGTAGCAAGCTGGTGGCCTATTTTGCAATAAAAATGGCACAGGTGTCATAGCGTTGAGTGGATGAACACGTGCCCCATGACAGAAATGGGGTGATACTATTGAGGTGGAGGGCATACCTGGAGGCTGCAGAGTGAGATCATGCTGTACATCATCTGGGTCACACAGAAGCAGTGCCGGAAATTATGGAAGGGGTTGTTTCTGTAATTGTCATGAATACACAGCTGCAGAGAGAGGGAATGAAACAGTCAGAGAGAGAAGAGCTCTTTCTTTATAAGCATATGATTATAGATGCTTCCCAACCTCCCTGGAAGCACTTTATATCCCTATAGGTGTCCTATGGAGCCCAGTATTATTTTCTGCTAGGACAGACTGACAGCACAAAGGCCTTCTGACACTTTCTGCCTTTCAAGAATTTGTCAGCAGGTAAAGCTCATAGCAGCTTCTCTCATACCAGCTAGCAATGGGTAAACATCCCAGCACAGTCAAGTGAGACAGTCCTATCAGTGTTGAGACAGGACTCTGTGCTCTTCCTGAATTTGTATTTCAAACTGTGCAGTGGTTAAATGTTGTCTTTGGGTGTGTAAAGAGCTCAAAGTATATCCCTGTTCCCCTCTCTTGCTGAATGCAAATTGTAGCTTTGAAATCTTCCAGGCTGAAATGTAGTTGTTATTTCATTTGCAAATGCTCAGAGGTAGTACTTTGGGATGTGTTGCTTGGCAAAGCGAAGTTATGAATGCACATTCTCTGGCTTACCTGTGTGGATTTCCTACGCTAAAGCAGCATGGGAGAGATTAAGCCATATAGGCACATGGGACGGATTTTAACTTTCTACAGATCCTGGCTACATGCCGTTATTAAAATGCAAGCTCAAGCTTGTCTTCCCATGTGTCCTCACTACTGTCAACTGGGCTATCTGAGTGAAGCTGGCACAGCTGGGTTGCCACATGCCACAGTCATTCTTGCAATGTAATGGAGAGCCTTTGGTGTCCTGTCCTGCACTGCACAAAACACCCAAGCATCAGCAGCACTGCTGGACCCCTTCTGCTGAATCATCCATAGCCTGGATCCTTATGCACATGCCAGAGCCCTTGGAGAGCCCTTATGCACACGCTTCAATTACTGAGCCTGAACTAATGATGTGGGCGGAATTTGTGTCCCCTTCTCCAGCTGAATAGTGAATTTACTTTAAAGAGTCTTCAAGCCCCATCAGGATCAAACCCTTCAACCCAGGACCTGACTTCTAGGAAGCCCTAAAGTTGGGATCAAGTCAAGAGAACTGTGGGTTTTCAATACTTATTCAGTATCTGGGGGCTTCATTTCAAAGCTGTTCAGATTATTCTGCAGCAAGGACTTTAGGAATACATTATATTATTTTAAAATAAAAACTAATGGCACAGTATGGTTGACAGCCAGGCTCACGGGTGGTGGTCAGTATGTCACAGCCTCTGCGTAGAGACCGTAGTTATGGCCAGGCACTGTACAACACTGCATGGATGTAATGGACACAACTAGCAGTGGAGCCCAGAGCATCCCAGGGGACTCCTGACTCAGAGCACTGAAGGACTGGAGTGACTGTGTTGTATTAGTCATCTGTCCCTCTCCTTTCTGGAAGATTTCTGTAGCCAGTGGATGTGGGAGCAAGAAAGCAAGCATATGCATGAGGTGGCTTTTTCTCGCTCGCTTAAGTTCAAACTGGTGGCCATACTGTGCCTGGGGAAGTATCATAGTTTGAAGTAGAGTCCTTGAGGCTTTTTTTAATCACCTTTTTTTCTTTTCCTGTGAAGTCAGCATTTAAGAAAAGAAATCTCACCCTGTCTTACCTTCATAGAAAATACATAATAAAGCCCCCTTGTTCAGAACAAGGCTGTCTTAAATGTTAGTAGTAACCAATTACTTGGAGATGCAAGCTAACAGGAAGCTGCCTGCAGCAGTGCATGTAGGTGGCATGTTGATGTGTGTTGACATATCACCTTGTTCCTCATGTTTTCAGGCTGTGAAACAGGAGGAGGAAATTTTCTGTTTAATCTACTCTGTGCTAGCCTTGTTTGCATTGGGTTTCATCCCACCCCTTCTGTTCAGCTGCTTTCTAAGGTCAACAATACTGATCTTTTCATAGAATCATAGAATCATAGAATCATAGAATAGTTAGGGTTGGAAAGGACCTTTAGATCATTTAGTTCCAACCCCCTTGCCATGGGCAGGGACACCTTACGCTAAATCATATCACCAAAGGCCTCGTCCAACCTGGCCTTGAACACTGCCAGGGATGGAGCATTCACAACCTCCCTGGGCAACCTATTCCAGTGCCTCACCACCATAACAGGAAAGAATTTCTTCCTTATATCTAAACTTCCCCTGTTTAAGTTTTAACCCATTACCCCTTGTCCTATCACTACAGTCCCTAATGAAGAGTCCCTCCCCAGCATCCCTATAGGCCCCCTTCAGATACTGGAAGGCTGCTAGGAGGTCTCCATGCAGCCTTCTCTCCTCCAGGCTGAACAGCTCCAACTTCCTCAGCCTGTCTTCATACAGGAGGTGCTCCAGTCCCTTTGATCATCCTCGTGGCCCTTCTCTGGACTTGTTCCAACAGTTCCATGTCCTTTTTATGTTGAGGACACCAGAACTGCACACAATACTCCAGGTGAGGTCTCACAAGAGCAGAGTAGAGGGGCAGGATCACCTTCTTCGACCTGCTGGTCATGCTCCTTTTGATGCAGCCCAGGATACAGTTGGCTTTCTGGGCTGCGAGTGCACACTGAAGCCGGCTCATGTTCATTTTCTCATTGACCAACACCCCCAAGTCCTTCTCCACAGAGCTGCTCTGAATCTCTTCTCTGCCCAACCTGTAGCTGTGCCTGGGATTGCTCCGACCCAGGTGTAGGACCTTGCACTTGGCATGGTTAAACTTCATGAGGTTGGCATCAGCCCACCTCACAAGCGTGTCAAGGTCCCTCTGGATGGCATTCCATCCCTCCAGGGTATCAACCAAACCACACAGCTTGGTGTCATCGGCAAACTTGCTGAGGGCACACTCAATCCCACTGTCTATGTCAGCGACGAAGATGTTCAACAAGACCGGTCCCAACACCGATCCCTGAGGGATGCCACTCGTTACTGGTCTCCAGCCAGACATTGAGCCATTGACCACAACTCTTTGTGTGCGGCCATCCAGCCAGTTCTTTATCCACTAAGTGGTCCATCCATCAAATTGATGTCTCTCCAATTTAGAGACAAGGATGTAGTGCGGGACAGTGTCGAATGCTTTGCACAAGTCCAGATAGATGACATCAACTGCTCTACCCCTGTCCATCAGTTCTGTAGCCCCATCATAGAAGGCCACCAGATTGGTCAGGCAGGATTTCCCCTTAGTGAAGCCATGCTGGCTGTCACCAAGCAACTTGTTGTTTTTCATGTGCCTTAGCATGCCTTCCAGGAGAATCTGCTCCAAGATTTTGCCAGGCACAGAGGTGAGACTGACTGGGCTGTAATTCCCCGGGTCATCCATTTTCCCCTTCTTGAGGGAAGGGTTATATTTCCCTTTTTCCAGTTGTTGGGAACTTCACCTGACTGCCATGATTTCTCAAATATGATGGCCAGCGGCTTCAGAACTCCATTTGCCAGCTCCTTCAGGACCCGCGGATGGATCTCATCAGCACCCATGGACTTGTGCACATTCAGATTTTTAAGATGGTCTCGAAACAGATCCTCTCCTACAGTGGTCCAAGGTCTTCATTCTCACAGTCCCTGCATCTGCCTTCCAAGACTTGGGTGATTTGGTCAGAGCCTTTGTCAGTGAAGACTGAGGCAAAGAAGTCATTCAGAACCTCAGCCTTCTCCAAATCCTGTGTAGCCAGTTCTCCTGAGAGCTTCCTGAGGGGGCCTACGTTGTCCCTGGTCTGTTTTTTATTTGCTATGTACCTGTAGAATCCCTTCCTGTTATCCTTAACATCCCTAGCTAAGTTTAATTCTAACTGAGCCTTAGCTTTCCCAACCTGATCCCTTGCTTCCCAGACAACTTCCCTGTACTCTTCCCAGGCCGCCTGTCCTTGCTTCCACTTATTATAAACCTCTTTTTTCATTTGAATTTTCCTCAGGAGCTCCTTATCCATCCAAGGAGTTCTCCTGGCCCTCCTGCTGCACTTCCTTCGGGTTGGGATGCAACACTCCTGAGCTTGCAGCAGGTGATCCTTGAATATCAACCAGCAGTCTTGGGCCCCTCTGCCCTCCAGGGCTATATCCTATGGAACCTTCCGAAGCAGGTTCCTGAAGAGGCCAAAGTCTGCTCTTTTGAAGTCCAGGGCAGTGAGCTTGCTGCACGCTCTTCTCACTGTCCTGAGGATCTCAAATTCGAGCTTCTCGTGATCGCTGCACCCAAGGCCTCCCTAGAACATCACACTTCCAACAAGCCCTTCCCTGCTGGTGGGCACGAGGTCAAGCATGGCACCTCTCCTTGTCGGCTCCTCTATTACTTGCAGAAGGAAGTTGTCTTCCACACAACCGAGGAACCTCCTGGATTGCTTGTGCCGGGCCGTACCGTCCTTCCAACAGATGTCAGGGTGGTTGAAGTCACCCATGAGAACAAGGACCTGTGAGTGTGAGGCTTTTCCTATCTGTCTATGGAGTGCTTCATCCGCAGGCTCTCCTTGATCAGCCGGTCTGTAACAGATTCCCACAGTAATGTCTCCCATAGCTATATTCCCTTTAACCCTGACCCACAAACTCTCTGTGGACTGCTCACCTGTCCCCAGGCAGAGTTCCATGCTCTCCAGCCTATCCCTAACATAATGGGCAACTCCCCCTCCCCGCCTGCCAGGCCTGTCTTTTCTAAAGAGCCTGTAACCTTCCATTCCAACACTCCAGTCATAGGAGCCATCCCACCATGTGTCTGTGATACCTATTATATCATACCCCTCTAGATGTGCACATATCTCTAATTCCTCTTGTTTGTTCCCCATGCTACGGGCATTTGTATAGAGGCATCTGAGCTGAGCTCCAACTGAAGCCGGTTCATTGGCTGGAGCGGCTGGAATATCTCTACATTGCTCTAGGCATTTATTATAGGTTCTGGCAACTGACTGGGTGTGTTGGGATGGAATGATGCCCCCCTTCCCCAGCACATCTAGTTTAAAGCCTCCTTGACCAGCCTGGCAAGCCTCCTAACAAAACTGCTCGACCAGCTCCCCCAGCCTCCAGTAGACCTGGCCTACAAGCTTGGGTCCCGTGTTCAAGACACCGAAACCCCTGACTATGACACCACCCTTTTAACCAGTTATTAACCTGGCTAATCCTCCTAGCTTTTTTTAGGTCCTCCTCTTTATCCTGGAGAATTGATGAAAAGACTATCTGAGCTCCAGAGCCCCTAACCACCTCTCCCAGGGCTCTGTAGTCCTTCTTTATGTTCCCCAGGCTACTACTATCTATTATTTTCATCTGCCTTCTTCGAGAGAGAATTCCTAGGTCTTGATCACTTTTTGTATCTCCTTTAATGTGGTCATATTAAGTTTCTAAAAAGGCCTAGAAATAAATTTCAGGTAAGCCGTATGCCTCTATAGTGACATGGTAGCACATGTCCATTTTATCGCTCCTTCCATTCTCTGATCAGCCTTATACCTTCTTAGCTTCATTGTACAGCAGCACACCAAGCACTGACAGTCACTGTCCTGTGTAAGCTCGTGCCCAGGTGCTTTCTGCTTTTGCTGTACTTCATGGTATGATGAATTTGGAGTTTGCTTTGTGTTTGCTAAATAGTTTCTGAATTTGTGGAATTTGTTCAGGCCCTTCTGGAAGTCTATAGCCACCATGTAAAATGCTTTCTACTATTCTATGTGTATTCTTCAGGTAATTAGAAGAGATTAATGAGATATGAGTCTTTGCCACAGGAATTGTATGAAACAGCTGTATAATGAATTTCACATCATGAAGTTTTTGATTACTGTAATAATCAATTTGGCAAGTAAAGATGTAATTTTTACTAACTATAATTCTTCAGGCTGTACCTAGATCCTTTTTAAACAATGGGTAAAATAATTACTGTTCTACAGTTCTCTAGGAATGTGGCAGGTTTTTCTAAGAAAGCCAATATATTCTTCAGCTTTTCAGTAAATGCTTTCTCATGCCCTGCCTTGGACCTGAAAACTTAATGGTTTTTAGGTCAGTGTTTCTTCTTCAGACATCTTAGTTTTGTATGATCTTAACATTATCATGTCTTGCGTCTCTGCAACATTCTCAACATTAAAGACTAAAGCAAAGAAAGTTATTTGGCTTCCCAGAAATTCCTTTTCCCTCCTGACTTGCTCCTTTACTCACCATGTAGTACATCTAATAATTATTGCACATACTGGCTTTTTTGGCCATATCTGAAAATGCTTGTCATGTCTCCATTTACAGTAGGTACCAAGAGCATTCACCAGAAATCAACTGCTCTCAATAATAGAAATCTCAGCAAATGGAAAACAATTAAAAAAATATCATCTGGGACCATTAGACTGCAAACATTTGCTGAAGTACTTAAGTTTTAAGAATTTGTGTAGATTGACTGCTTTCAGTGGTATTCCTCAGGTGAGTCCAGTTAATTCCATGCCCTTAATCAATTTTTTTGTTTTAAAAATTTTCAAATATGAGTAATTTTAAATACTTACCAACCACCTCTTTAACGTAATAGGATTGATATTGAAGTCTTTTACCAATCCAAGATCATGGTACATGTGTTCCAAGCAACTCAGCATCTGTAGCCAGGAACAGATAGGTTATTGGCTTGGTAAATATCACTTTGCTTTCTGATACATTGCAAAGTGAATTTTCCCCTTGCAAGCATCGAATAATTGCAAAGCCCCCTTGTTAAGATGAAAGGAAGATGTTCAAAGATTGTGTGATTAAAGACAGTGCAAGAGGGAAGATAGAGAGGTTCCTAAAGCTTTTTGAAGTAGACAGATTGCTGTTGACTTCATAGGCTTTGTGGGGGTCTTTGAGTCACACCAGCTCTCCTTAGTAATTGTGATTCATTCATTTCATAGCAATGCTTTCTCACAAAAAAGTATTGCCATTTTTCTAATTCAGCTGGGATATGGTCTAATGCTTGTTGAAAACATGGGAGTTTTCCCACTGACTCCAAAGGCCCTGGCTGTGTAGAAATGGACCAGGCTCTAGCTGTATGGAAAATGGCAGCAGAAAGTAAGATTCTTGAAAACCCCTTTTATTCTAGATACGTGTCAATATCTTCTTTCTTTATGACTTCTTGTGAGTTTCTAACACCATTATCTTAACTCGTATTTCTTGTTTAACAAAAGGTCTATCAATCTAACCCTACAAAGTTGCAGCAGGTTTGTGACCATCCACTCCTGTAAACTGTAACTATGAATCCCAACAGCTGAACTGCAAAGGCAGGCTGCTCTTTTGAGACAACATCTGCTCTGCAGTAGGAAGGCAGATAATATATTGCCACCAATCCCAGTTAATCTATGGATTTGAAAATAGTGGGAAAGAAAGGTATTGTTCGTCTGATGTGTATGGGCACTTAACAGCTGCCACCAGACTGAAATGAACAGGAGTCCAGGAGTTTATGTATCTGCATTCCTATTTCTGAAGGCAAAATCTGCAGGGAATGAAATGTAGCCATTAAATTATTTGATGCAGTTCTTAGACTGTAGACTGATGAGTTTTAACATGATGAGTATAATGTCACAAATATGGCCTTGGAGACATTTCTAGCTGGGTTTCTATTATTCAGGCTCTTCAAAACTCTCCAGAAAAATGATTTCATCTAATGAAATTTTATGTTTATCCAGGGAATATACATAGTTCATGCAGTAAAAAAGAGGCTGGTTTTGAGTCATCTGAACAGGAAGAAAGAGACTTTCCTGCAAGACTTCATGGACAATGTCATGAGCTGAATGGTGCTCACATTGCATGGGTAGCATTTTGCTGTAGACCATCATGTCCTGTTCCTAGTCCCTGAGGTAGAATATATGCTTGGCAATAGTTTCAGAAAAGACTTCCTGAGACAACAGACTGGATCCAGAAGGGCTGAATTACTCTCAGAAAAACCTATCTCCCCTCAGCTGTTTTGCCAAGAGAGCTATAGGTGAGTGGCCGGGTGACTGTAGTCCCAAAGCTCCTGCCCCTGAGCACGTGAGAATCTCAGTTTTCATTTTTAGCTTTCTTGGTCAACAGCAAAGCTTGAACATTGGACTCTTCTAAGGCTTAAATGAGTGGGCATTTGATAAAGTGAACACAAGCTTGCTGCATAGTTCTGTTTACTGAGATGCTGCAGAGTACATTATTAATTTGCTTACAGAAGGCTAAGGTTTATAACCTGCCTGCCCTCCACTGAACATGTGAGCAAATGTTCATTGCCAAACAAGCATTGGCAGAATTGAAATATTCTCTGTAAACATAAATCAGAGCTAAAAGGATAAAATAAACCCATGTGATGCTCAACTCACTAGAGGTTGTGTGGTACCTTATTTCTGAGCATCTCTCCTTTCAGGGCATGTCTAATCTCTGCATTCTCGTGTTAGTCCTGTTCATGCCACCATATAGTGTTTCCTAAGATTCCAAATGAGTTACTGTGGTAAAGTAATATGCCTCAGCACACAAGAATCCATGGATAATGTTTTTTGTCTCTCACTATTCTTTCTTAATAGTCAGAGAAACAATGAGCCCACAGTGTTACAGTCCACCTGGCAGGTCGTAATTCTCTCTTGCTGTAAAGACCTGACAGGCATTAAAAAGCTGGGGCCAAGCCATTTTGCCTGAGCAGTTGTATGGCCGTGGTACAGAGAAAAGAGACTGGAGAGGGAGCAGTAACTGCAGAGGACCAGCCTTAGCTTGGCATGGACTGCACAAGGGAAGTACTGCCTGTCTCTGCAAATGGGAGATGGACCTAAAGCCACCAGAGAGGCCTTCTGTTAAAGCCAGATGAAACATCCTGAAGGGAATATCTTGTTCCTGTGTACGGTATGGGTATTTTTAATTGTCGTGTTGACCTACAGGTGCTGAGCCAGAATGATCCTTATATGCACAACATCTGATTGAGAAGGTAATTAAAGTGATTGCTGCTGGGGTGCTGCTAGAGCTACTCAATCCTTCCCTTGGGAAAAAACACAACACTAAACCCCCACTTTAGTCCTGCCCTCCTTTATATTTTTCCTAAGTGAGATTTGCTTATATTTGCTGAATCTAGTTTTATATTAAATTATAAGTAGTCCATTACAGAAACATCCTTCTCATTCATGTTTCCACAGAGGTTTACACACGGTCCTTTCAGAACCTTCTGCAATACAAGTGACAAGCAATGAATAATACTAATAGCAAGAACAAAAATAAGACAATTAAGCAACAAGAAAATACAAATAGGCTGTGCATGCAGCTCTGCAACCTCTTCAGAATACACAGCAGGAAAACCCCTCACCTAAAAGGGTGTGAATCAATGCATGAACCTCTGTTTGGCTTCATACAGCAGGATGCTGCTTTATTGATTTGAGCAGAGTTGTTGATGATGTGCGTGAGCATACACTTTGCTAGGGATTGATTTGTTCACATAAAATGGCACGAGACAACTCATGTGGCAGTAATGACAGTGCACCAGTTGTTGTGGGAAATTACTAGGAAAAGATTAAAGAAAATACAGAGAGGAGTCAGTGTATAATAATCAGCATAGCCTATCGGGCATCTGTTAGGAAAAAGTACTGGGGAAGAAAAGGGGAAAAATCCCACAGACCATCTCAAAGGGCTCTTCTGTCTTTGTTGGCTCTCAGAAAGAATGCTAGCCCAGCTAACACATCATCCTTACCTCATTGGGCTCCCACAGCCATACATCAAAGGTTGGCTTCCGAAGTGCTTCAATGGTCTCCTGGGACAGCATGTACTGCAGACAAAAATACAGTTGGCATAAGGGTCCCCCACCCTGGCATGGGACCTGCTATTGGCGCGTCCTTGGCACTCCCAAGGTTCTATTCATGAGGGGTTTAGCTATATTTCCCAAGGAGAAAGCAACTGATCTCTCGCTCTGCCTGCCCAGCCCTCCTCACCCTCCCCACTAGCTGCTTGTGGTCAGGCCAGGGTACCCATGCCTAGCAGGCAGGAAGTCCCCAAGCAGCTTGCTGATAGGTGGAGATCCTTGTGGAGCAGGAGAAATGGAGGGAGAGTGGAAGTGTTATGGATGGGGTTATGGGTAAAACCAGCACAGGGATATAAAGGGCACAAGGCTCAGACCTGTCCCTGGCTGCACCGGCTTTGTTGCCTGCAGAGCATCAGCGACATTCGATGCAGCCAGTTATGTCTGGATGGTGTGAAGTGTCTACAATTCACAGTGTTAAATTAGCTGGTGGGTATGATATATTTACTTGCAGATGATTTATACTCTCATTTTGAGTATTTTTTCCAAGAACGCCCACATTTTCAAATTGGTTGTCAGCCTGCAAGATTCCAGTGATTTTTTATCATTATGCTCGGAGGCTTAGAACAAACCCAAGCTCATCATCCAGTTATGATTTGTGTACAAAATGGAAAAAAGGAATGTGGGGAGTTAAAAGAACATGACTCTACCTATTCATCTTTTCTAGACTCCATTCATCAGAGTCTTTCTGGGCCACAAAAATCTTGTAGCTTCACTTGGCCCATTTACCGTGGCTGTCTCTAATTAGTCTGGGCTTACTGTACTGAGCAGGTAAATGAAATTTTCTGAGCCATCAAACTGCTGATACTTAATCCAAGATAGAATAACACCAAAGATTAATTTCCTTCTTGAGAAAGCAATTGATTTTGCATTCACACATGTAATGTACATTGAATATGATGTTCTCCAAGAAAATTGTGAATTGGCAGCACGGATTTGTTATTTGATAACAAATGTGTGTTGCTGAATAAACAGGAGAACTTAAAATTCATTGGTCTGTAAGTCTCTGAAGGCAAATATGCAAGGATGCATGTCCATATCATACACCTGCATCACACAGGACCATGTGAACTTCAGAGTGGCTGAGCCAGCTTTGATGTGTGCAAGTAAATGACCACGCAGAAGCTCTGATTTGCACATGTGAGCTGGTGTATTGTCAAGGTGTGAGGTGGGTGCTGAGCAGACATAGCCTGAAAGCTTTGCATAATTCCCATGGGCAAAGACTGATGGTGCTAGGACCAAAGATGCTGTGTGCTTCATGGTTTCAGCCTCATTCATCACTGTGGATTTCTGCTTGTACTTGCCCAGTAGACATTTTTCTTCAAGCATTGCTGTTTTCTGTAGTAAATACATTATCTCATTTTCACAGGGACAATGAATCATTCTGGAGAGAATCCAATGTCACATTTTCTCTTTGTTTCCCTAGGTGAAGCATCTCCATAAATTACTTTTTAAATTAAAAAATAATCCATTAGGAGAAAACAGGCAGCAGCACTATTTTCAATTAGAGTACAACATTGTAGGCTGTTTTTGATTGTTTGCTCTGAGCATGGAGAATAAACAAATATAACTAGACCAAAGAGCTTTAAACGTTGATGAATGCAAAATGTTCATTAACATTTCAAACACTAATGAGCTTTCAAATATTAAAGACTACTGAGGATCCAACTTTAAGTCACCACAGGCACATGACAGCTTTTTTCCATTGGCTCCCAGGGATTTTGGATCAGGCTTTGGATTTAGAATAGCTAGGATGTAGATGGCTAGTGAAGTCATGCATTGTAAACCAGCAGTTGTCAGGATAGCAAGCTTGTGGTAGGATTATGGGAAGGAAAAGCATTGTGTGGTACCTTTGGATAGGATGGTACATCCCGCCGGGGAGTCGGTCTCTTGTTTTCATCCAAAAAGCTGTACTTGCAGGGACAATTCGTCCTGAAATTAAATATGCAACTCTTAACATTGTGCAAACAGAACCACAGTGCCTCAAAAAATGCTGGAAATACTCTGGTCTCTCAGTAGGCATTGCTTGGAGAATTACCCTGCTCCCCAGACTCTCTCTTTCTAATATGGTGTTGCTCAAATGCTTTAAAAGTGTGATCCTCTTTAGGATTTTCTGCCCTTGTGCAACTTGTTGCAGCATCTCAGTCTATTTGAATTCAAGTGAGGAGCTTCTCTATTCAGGCATGTGAATACCCCATAATTTCTATTTAAACCAAGTCACTTTCAGCAAGCAGCTTGCTGTCTGTGACAGGCATAGGTGTCTGAGGGTGGCAGAGCCCAGCCAGGGGCCACACTGAACATGGACACTGGCATACCTATGCTTATTTACTAGTGTAGGCACACACCAAGCCCAAGGTTTATTTCAGCCCAGCTCTAGGCCTCATAAAAGCTTGGGTAAGAGCATCCATTTTGATGGCTTGACCATCTTCCCTGCTGCTCTTCAGGTGGGACAACAGCAGTGAGGTGCGGGCTCGGCAGATACAACCTGCTTGGCTCCCAGGTCCTGGAGGAAGGGAGCCATTGCCAGCAGTTACAGGTGATCTAACACTTGCCTGTTTTTTAACACCAGCACCCCCTGACAGTTATCTGCCTGTCCTTCCTCTGCACGTGGAAGAGCCAAGCTGATGCTGATCTAGTTGAAGATGTCCCTGCTCATTGCAGGAGGTTGGACTAGATGACCTTTGAAGGTCCCTTCCAACCCAAACATGATTCTATCCCCTCTGAGCAGAGGACCAAGATGGTGGGCGGTGCACACCAGCCTTACAGCCTTTGCAGAACATCTAGGTTGCTGCATTGCAGTGTGAAAGCAGTTTTTTTCCTTACAGCCATGGGGGCCACAATAAAACATAGAGCTCTGCGGTGTCACACAGGTGTCAATCATGATACTTTAACTCAACACACATTTCCCATGTAGTTGGTCATGTGGATTTTAAGAACTTTCATGTCAGGTTGATCTGCTTGTATTTTGCATTTATCCCTAGATTATTCTTTCTCATTTCTCAAGCCTCCTACCAATTGAAGTTAAAAGAAACCCCTCAAAAGAGCCAACCAAAGCATTCCATTAACTTTATTTGATCCTTTAAAAATTATTTCACATATTGTATATTGAATCTCTTTCTAGTGCTTCTCTGTTGGGAGTTGGTCTGGGTCTCTTTTCTGCTCTTAACATTGATGTCTTCTAACACTCTTGATGGTGTTGTCTGAATCCTGTGAAAGTTATGTCATCCTACAGTTCATGGTGGTCAGCTGGCTTCAACCAGCTTTTGAGGAGATTTGGGGAGCCCTGTTTGAGGTGATTCTCAGTTGATGAAAAGCTGTCTTAATAATTTCTAAAGCTGTTTCCTCAAAATTCCACTGTGAGGGGTATTAGTTGGATAAAAATAGTGAGATGTGGGCAATCCTTGCCCTAATTGGAGCTGGCTGCCAAAGTTAGCTGAAGGTCAGTCAATTATCTTTAATTCCCAGCTGTAGTATGGCGTCCCAGTATGTATTATGACTCCATGCTACCACACTGGGGAACACATTAGAGCCAGGGTGCATCAGACCTTTACAAATGTAAAACTGTATCTGCAAATGATCATGATTTTAAATGATATTATATTGTTGGTAGCATCTGCCAGTGGCGAGAGCAAAAAGCAGACTAGCAAACAAAAAAGCAGTATGAGGGGATGCAAGTGGGGGTCTTTTGCTCTTCTGAAGAGGACAGATGCACAATTCACTGTGCATGACTAATTATAAATCTAGCTGTTCACTCCTACTCTGTCATTTGGTAATGTAAGAGCAAACGTAAGAATATGCAAACATACAAGTGTACAGCTGTGTCTGCTGTGATATTATTGAAGGAATATACGCACTCAAACATACTTTTGTACATTAACTAAATTTAGATGTGATCCCTAATTGCAACTGTAACACATTATCTAGCAAATGGCATAGCACAAGGGATGACAAGCCTAAGTAGGTGCAAATACATTGCCACATATGCTAGGATGCCTTGTTTTTCCCCCACAGCATGTATCTCATGCCCATGGGAGAGAGATTGTTCAGTCGCTCTGGGGTGAAGCATCCCTAGGCTGGGGTCACTGTCGTTATGGTGTCGTTATGCAGATCCATGGTTGCTTGGGAATAGGGAACCACAGCTCATTCCTCAGCAGCTCCCAGTGGGGTCCCTTTTAATGACCACCTACCAAGGACCATTCTCTTCCCAGTCTTACAGCAAGAAGTGACTCATAGCCATCTCTGGTTGAACCTAGCTACATACGTACTAGCCACATACACAGCCACACTGAAGCTAGCCACATCTAACTGCTTTGAGACCCAAGCCCTTAAGCTACAAATAATAATAGACAGAATTTTGTGCAAGGAGAAGGAGGTTTTGTGCAGCTGGGAAGAGGAAGACCCAGCTCAAGGCAACCAAGAAGTGCTGTGACAGGTAGCTGCCATATTGATAGGGCACAAAGGGATGCTCAGCAGAGTAAGTTAGGGTACGGGTTCAGTGAAAGCAGCTATGCAGTGTGAGCTAAGAGCAAGCAAGCTTAGGTATCAGCTGCTGAGCACTGCACCCATTTTTGCCACAGCTTTCCAGCACCATGGTCGATGCTGGTGTCTGGCTGTTGGCAGCTGTAATATCTCACTACAGTTCTTGCTGAAGACTACACACCTCAGCTGGAGTTAGCTGCACTGGGCAGACATGGCACGCCCCATTCCTGTTCTTGTTAGCAGGTTGCTGTTTGTACTACAAAATAGATTGTAAGGTGACAAGATCTGGGACAGGAATGAGTCATGGCTGTTGCTGGAACACTTTCATACTTCCTGATGTGTGTGGTAGCAACTGGGCAAACATGAAGTTGCCATAGCTTCTATTTTGGTTTTAATTCCCTATCTGCCTGTGTGTCACTATGCTTGTAAGTAGCTGCTCTCCCAGCTCCCTGTAACAGTTGAGGAAAAGTAGAGACACATGCATGAGCACACGTTATTCACATCACTACCAGCACAAATCAGCGTACATGCTTTCCTATTTGCTGCCAAATTGAACTCTGATTTTTCTAATGAGATTTCCTTACACACCTGAACAAGAAATGATGCAAGTCACAGGGCAAACTGCAATCCATCCCACTGGTATAAATCTGGAGCAGATATGAGGTTAATACTTTTACTCTGCGCTTATACTAGAATGACAGCTGAATTTGGCCTCAGACCTAATAGGAATGTATTAACACTGTGCCTTCTGACATATCTGGGTAGCAGAGTTTATGAAAGTGAGTGATTATAAAGCCTAATTCTTTTAGCAAATCTCCTATTGCCCTCAGTAGGAAATAGCTTTGATTAAAGGTCAGAGAATTTGACCCTGAATGAAGAAAACGAGAGAGGCTGTCAAGATAGCATAGTTAAATTTGCTGAGAAAAAAACCCTTCACCCACACTTTGAGCAACACAATATATCCCTCTTCAGCAACCTTTCCAGAAGTATTCATCATCTCTCAGTGATGATTTGTTTGTCCTAATGGCATATTTCAGTGACACAGGGGGCAGACTTTCCAGCCGAGACTGCGTGCCCTACAAAATGCAATCTTTTCTGCTGTTGTTTTAATTACAGCAAAACCAAGCTTCATAATCGCAGTAAGCCCTTGAACTAGAGAGTAAATTCCCAGCTTCTTGTTGAATTTGAAATGGATGTTTTATAGTAGCATGAGATCGTAAAATTAGAAGAGCTGTTACTTATTTATTTGATATTTTCCCAGAATATGTTGGAGCTGATTTGAGTGTTAGCTGGTTCCCAACTGAACTCCACACTATACGAAAGTTCTTTTCCCATTATCTGTCTCCCAGTAAATCTGGATAAAGAATTCCCATTCTTTCTGTATAGTGAAAAACATCTCTCTGCTGAAAGACCTTTTTGTCTTTCAGACCATAGTCTGAGCTGTTTTAACTGATGGATGGCTATACATCTTCAAATGTTAAATTAAAGCCACTGTCTGCAGTGGTTATTGGGTTCCTTGCCTCTGCACTTCTAAGCCCAGAAGGTAACTCAATCCTGTGGAAACACTGCATAAAGGTTTGAAACCAGATGCTTATTTCTTTGGTTAGGTCCAAAGCAGAACTTACCTGCTGCTTCTAGCTGCCATTTCCTCCCTCATTTTTTTAATGTCGCTCTTGCATTTCTCGATCTCCACTACTTTCAGGCCTTCCACTGTCAACAAAGGAAAACAACAGGGGTGTTACCATGGCGAAAGTCGAAGGATCTCGTTTCACAATTGTGCAAAATTTCAAAGGGCTTTAAGACGGGGTTATCCAGTGAGCCAGCAAGCTCTTTCAGCCTGCCTCGGTTCTCACATGTGCAGGTGCTGTCAGACCGAGGTATCTTGAAAACCCATAGGAATTCTCCGCTGCCAATTTCAGATAATAGCTACAGTATTTTAATTCACAGAGTAGCTATTGCGTCTCAGCTTTTCTACCACTGCTAGCAGCAGTCAGCTGTCCTGGTGCCTTCACTTCTCTGCTGTAGAACACGAATCAAAGGAAATCCTGAGCAAAAAATATCCCCTCCAGTGATGGGATGATGAGCGCAGCTAGGCAAACACGTCCCAGTAGGATTAGAATTCCCATTAAGAGAAAAGGTTTTAATTTGAAAGTTCACGCAGAGCGTTAAGGAGCTCTGAAAGGCACTGCTAGATACAGAAACACCAAAGTGAGAATGTGGGAGAAAAAGAAAAATGTTGAAAAGTTTTGCTCTAATGATTGATTTAACTTTTTTTTTTTTAGGTATTGAAGATCTGTCACTTCTTTTTGCTAATCAATTTTGTAATCAAAGGCTATTTCTGCATGTAGCATAAAAAAATCCTATGTTTCCTTTCTGTGTGCAATTATGAGAGCCACAAGGCAAAAAGTTTGATTGCCTGTTTATGCAGCAATGCACTTCACATAGCTGTGAGAACCTAACACAGTGCAAGTATGAGAATATTCTCCCTTTTCTTTCTCTCTCATTTAACTATCAGCGTGCTCAAGGACATAATACGGCACCATTTATTAAGTACATGTCATTCATATGCAATCATTTCACAGCTCATTTGTTTACTTATTGTTTGCTTGGACAAGCTGTGGTTCAGGGAGCTCCAGGGAATGTGCAATTGTACAATCAGTATTCAATAACCTTCTTAAAAAGTAATACTCAAAATCACATTTATCTGGAGGGTACCATGTAAGTGATAAAAACTGCCTTGGAGGGTACAACTCTGTAGATAAGCAGAGACCTCAGCTTCATTTTCCTTATGCTAGTAACAACAAAGATTGCTATTAGAAATGGGAAAGAGGAAAAACAGAGAAGTATATGAGCAAGTCCAAAATGCGAGTTATTAAGGAAAGGAAAGGGAAAGGGGTTTTATTTATGCTTGATTACAGGGATATCCTCCACTTAAAAATCCAATTTCCAGATTACTGTTTGTTTTTTTTTGTCTAGCATTGTTAACAAGCAATTTTTTGGATGATTACAGTGTGATGATACGGGCAGGATGTTTTCCTGCTTAATCAGTATCTTCATTCTGGGTATCTGGCTGCACTTTTTGGGGTGCTCCGTTCAACTGCTGATGGTCAGCTGCAGCTGACCTGCAGGACTGGGCTGCTATGTACCATCCCGGTGCATTAAGCTGGGAGAAGTTCATGGATAGCCCATATGCCAGGCTGGTGCTCATTTGAAACAATGGGAGCAAAGCAAAGTTATCAGACTGAGGGTAGTAGGGCAGGCAATTGCAGACGGAAGAGGAGCTGTGGTGCAAAATGGCAGCCCTGAACATTTTTTCGTATTGCGTCTCTTCGGTTTTCTTCCAAAACCTCTCCAGGGGGAGAAGAGAATTTACATAACTATTTTCTTAAGGCAGATGTGAGATGCTTACAAATTGTCAAGGGCTTTTGCCGGCTTCCTTATTCATGTGTGGGCTGCTACGCAAACACTGGAGCAGAGTAAAGCATTCTTAGTGCTTGCCCTGTGTGCGTTTTCCAAGGGGAAGTCACAAGCTTGAGATGGGATTTAAAAATCGGTTAAAAGGTTCGGCTTCTTGAAAACATGTCTCTATGATATGGTCTCTAGACAGTAATGGGAAGGAAGCTGAGAACATTTTATGTGAGGTGCAGATGTAGTTTTGTCATGAGCTCTTATCCCCACACACACATCCCCACTGGGGAAGAAATCCTGGAGATCACATGTGAAAGTGGTAGAAAAGGGTTCTCCGAAGGAGGTAGGAGAAAAGGCAAAACAAAAGCACAATTCTTTTCGTATTTGGCTCACAAATGATGAATGGCCTTGTCATGTGCACTGATTAAGGGCCCATTATGTTATCCTGCAGCAAAAAATACCTCTGAAAAAACCCTGTGCTGTCCAAAGAAATCCTTGGGCTGAATCCAGCACTGGAACATGGCTCTTACAGCAACCTCAGGGAGCCCAGCTCGAGCAGGGAGGTTGGACACTCCCTTTCTCTCACAGTTTTGCTTTTTAAGTATGAAAGCCTGGAATTATTTTGAAATGTTGCAGATCTGGCTCTGTCACAGATCCTGGAAGTCCAATTTTGAGCAGATGGGTGCACTTGTAGACAGGCAACCCAGGGAGCTCCTTCCCACAGGCTGAGGCTGCCGGAGATGGGATCGCGGAGCACTCAGGCAGAATGGCAGCAGATTGCTACATCAGCTGCTATTTCCACCAGTGGAGAGACCCACTTATGGAAAGAAGCCTTGTCTGGGGACCAGAGAATTCAGTTCACCTGCATGGCACCCCGGTGCTGGGTAGGACGCCTTCCCTCAACATCAGTGAAATGCTGGAGTGTGCAAGCACACAACTCCTCCCCACCGGCAGCAGCGTGCAAATCTCTGTTATCTCCCTCCACTGCTGCTGGCTGCCGACGTTGAAAGGCAGCCTGTGTGCAGGGTGCAGCCAGGGATCCCATTGGGGACAGTGGCTGGGATAGTTGCTTGCCTGGGGGATAGGAAGTCCCACAGGAACGCTTGCCTCATTTGTCTTAGTCCATGGCACTTAGCCCTAAGGACAGGAGTTGGTTGGAAGTTTCACAGAAAATGCAGTGAGTGAGCTAATTTCTCTCATTTTTTCCTGTATTTATTTTTTTCTTTTGGACAAAAGAATAAATCAGTGGAGCTTTAGGAAAACCAGCAGCTGTGTAACAGAGAGGAATTACAACCCAATCTTGCAGAGGTCTGTGCTGGGGTAGGCATGTTGCAGGTAGGGCTCCCACCCCACTGGAGCCTAAAGCGAGGGTGGCCTCAGGAAGAGGTTCCCCTGCAGCTGCTCTTTGAATAAGGACATATTTCCCTCTCCCTGCTGACAAAGGCATCAGTCTCACTGAGCAGCTGCAGGGTCAAGGTAGCTTCTGGTCAGGGGAAGTTTCAAGAAAAGAATTTCTTCCACGAACCAGAACCTTTTTTTTTTTCCCAGCCACCTCTAGTGAGAAAAGTGCTTTCTGCAGCTGTAATACCAGGGAAAACTGCCTGCTCCTGACTTAAATGCTGCGTATCAGCAAGGATGCGGCCTTTGATGTCAAGGCAGTGCTGGGTGATGGTGCCATGCCTCTTATTCATACCTCTCCCCTGCTTTTCCTTGACATGTGTTCAGAGTAATATACTGAAAATCAACAAGTCAGATGCTGAATGATGGGAGGAGCGGGGGAGGAAGTCCCAAAACCCAGAAAAGGAGCTCTTTGACCTGATGAATTAAACTTTTCATTGTGCACAGTAACAAAATATCGTTGTGTTACATATAACACACTGAACAAGTGAGGGAATTGATGCTGCCTAGTAGTCTGCAGGCAATATTGTCAGGGAAAGGTAAACCCCCATGCTTGCAGCCCAGAAATCACTGCCTCACAAAACAACAAGATGAACCACAAGACAAGTGTAGGTTTAGATATTAGGAAGAAATTCCTTATTATAAGAGTGGTGAGGCACTGGAACAGGTTGCCCAAAGAAGTTGTTGCTGCCCCATCCCTGGCAGTGTTCAAGGCCAGGTTGGACAGGGCTTTGAGCAACCTGGTCTAATAGAAGGTGTCCCTGCCTTCAGCAGGAGGTTGGAACTGGATGAACTTTAAGGTCCCTTCTAAACCAAACCATTTTGTGATTCCATGATTCTGCAAGGAGAAATCTCTCTGCAAGACATGTTTGACCTTGTCAAAGTGTTTGACCTGTGTGCAAGTGTCTGACTTAAAGCAGAAGGAAGGTAGCTGTAATTAATTACAAGGTGCAGCAGTGAGTACTAGGTCCCAAGTGTGTTAATGAGGCAGGGTGTTCAGGGACTTCGTATGCAGAGGCATGGGAGGGTCAGTGCCGGGTACAGAGGAGGTGATGTGGATATGGGGCATGGAGGGGATATGTGAGGGGAGGCAAGGGGACTTGGAAGTAGCAGACAGGGAATTGGGTGTTGGAGACCCTCTGCCATGGGGTAGTGGGAGGATGTTTCCCTGGTCCCAAAGCTTGGTGGAGGGCTAAATGGCCCCTCATAGGGGAGGCCAGGAGGGACTCCAGATTCCTGCAATACCAGGCATTCCTCCCTGCCCTCATCCCCTGGTAGGTGCCAGCATGGGCTCTCACCTTCCCCACATCTCACCCCAGGCTGGCCTCCAGCCTTTGAGGGCCAAGGCCAAACAAGTTATGAGCCATTGGAGAAAGCGGAGGGGCTGTGAGGGGTGGGGCAGAGAGGGGGTACAACAAGAGCAGCAAGGCGGGGGGGGGTTCTGAAGCACCGATTCCCACTGTGATATGAATAAAGGGACACTCACATTCAACCTTTTTCTCCAGCATTGCCAAGTGATTAGCTACTTCCGTTTTCAGCTCATTGATTTTAAAAACCCTGAAAAGAAAACCCTCATATATTAATGTTATACATTTAGTGCTGTACCTACCCTTGGTACAAAGGATTTTTGCTAGAAATGCCTATATTTTTCAGAGGATTGATCTTTTCGGCCATGCTTGCGGTAAGGAATGGAGAATTTTCCATGGAAATGCTAAAATTTTGTCTGAAAATACTTTTTTTTTCCCCCATAAAAATTAAGAAGAACTGATTTTGCCATGGCGCTGGCCCTGGGAATGTACTGCGGCTCTACGACTTCACCAACCCCTCTCTCAGCAGTGACTTGTTATTGTACCCCCCAGGGAAGCAAATTTAAATTGATAATGCTTTGCCTAACAGCAGCATTTTGGTCTCTGCACACTCTGAAGCCCTCCTCCTTCGGAGTTACGCTGGGGATTTGCAGAGCTGTGGTGGGATTGATCCATCTTATGGAAACCAGCTGGAATAAAATAAGCAGCTCTACAGATGTTGAGAAATCCTCTCGGAGGAGAGAAACATTTGAGTGAGATAGGGCAAAACAAACAAATCAGATGGTTTGACTGTTCAACAAAGAATTTCTTTTGCTTCCTAAAAGGGCAGGACCACAGTAATAACATTTATATTTATTACTTGATCTCTTTTTAAGATCAAAGATAATTGCCAAAACTGCTTTTGGTTTAAGCTACTGTATTGCTGACAGCAGGAAATAACGTGTGTACCAGGCCTAAATTTGGCAGGATGAGTGGAATTTGAAAGAGATCTTAAATGCCCCTCTGCCTCCTGTGAAAATTTCACTTCAGGCTGATAAAAGAAAAAACATTTTAAATCAGCAATAACGGTCAGCTTCTTACCTCGAGAACTGCTCAGCAATCTGTCCCAATAAATTCTGGAACAATTCTTCTTTCTCTGGTAAAAATAGGAGGGAGACATGACAGAAAATGACAAAGGAAAGAAGACATCCTCAACCTCCCTGCAGAGTGGCATCCCCAGACTTCCAGCTCTGACTGTGAGGCATTTAGCCAAAATGTTGTTCTGGTCCTTTGAACAAGTGACAGCAGTTGGGAACGATTCCTCATCTCATGCCTTCCTATGCCTGCAGATTGCAGTCAAGGTTTATCAGAAGTGTTTTGGAGGGTGCTGGGTCTCTGAGAGGTGGCTTGTTTTAAGGCATCACTCTCTAGAAATGAGACCCTTTTTGCATGCCTTGGGTGGGACACCCAAAATCACCATCTGCTTTTGAAAGGTCTGGCTCACAAGAACTGCCTCTACAACAGTAGCAACAGAGTGCCCATGAATAAAGCAACAACTTGTGAACACAATAAATGACAGCTTGCCTTTCAGATTTACACTTGGACATTATCCTGGAGACAGTACTTTTGGTGCAAATTCGTAAGGATCCTACTGCCTTGCAGAAGCTTCAGGCATGAAGATGCCGAAGTGACTGTTCTAGCAGAACAAGGTCCTCACTTCCTGGTTCGTGGGATGGACACAGCAGGACACAAGTTTCCCAACCCCTTTTCCCTGAGAACATAACTTGGACAGTGTCGCTGCGGGGATCCTCTCTGGATCCCATCGCTGCCTGAGCAGCTGTGGCAGTGGCCGCACTGGGAGTGCTCGTACCAGTGGCTCCCTGCCTGCTGCTCCTTACACCAGCACTTGGGAAAGTCAGCCTGGTGAAGCCCCAGCCCCTTCCCAAGACCATCACGGAACTGCTGTCGTTCATAGAGGGAAAAGCAAACAAGTCCTTAAAGAAAGACCCTAGTACATTTCAGGAACAAAGAAGAAGTATGATAGCAAAGTTTCCCATCTCAGTCTGTCCACACTGTATTCACCATGTGGACAAGGCAAAGCATAAATTATCATTGCAGAGCTGTGAGCTGCTGTTTTAAGATTGCTCCCACTTTTCCCACTAGCTAGTTCAAACTGCACTATGCTGCAGTTGTTCTCATGCCTGCAATGTGGATGTACTCCTAGTTTCTCATGCTGAAGGAGCAGAAACATTGCATGCTGTCATATACACACTGCAGATTACGGAACACCCATTTATACCCTACATAGAAATACATTTATACATCCTAGGTAGAAATACCCTGATGGAATTTCTTTTTGCACTTGTGTAAGGGAGTACAATGTCTCACGAGTGCAAACCCAGGCAAAACACATCAGAAAAAAATGCAACCCAGCATTTACAACCTATTTCTAAATAATAGCTCTTGGTACCTGTTGAAAGGATTTGCAGCTCCTCAGGCATCCGAGGTGTCAGAAATACTCATCAAGAGCATTCACTTTGCTGGTCAAAACAATTTGTCTGTTATCCCTGTAGCTCTAAACTGGAGCAAGCACTCTGTGCTCTGAAAGTCTCTGATCTAATTCCCTCTCTTGTTTTTGTCCTTTCGCTGAGATCCAGCTCCCAGCGGAGTGGTCAGCAAAGCAACTGAAGAGATCAGTTCTTTTCACAGAGACCCGTTTTCAGTTTTCTCACAAAACCCATGTGCTGTAACAAAGCAAATGCTGTGTCCTATTTAAGACAGAAGGAAAGCTTACCGTATGCAGCACCTGGGGTGGTACCTGAGTCTGACAGTGAAAACAAGCACAGAAACCCGTGTCCTCTCACTTCAATGCTGCTCCGCTCTCTGACAGTGGCTGCAGCACTCCGGAGACTGACAAGTTCCCTATAAACACCATTCCAGTAAAAAAAACCCTCTTACTTTCACTCCCTCCCCCTGTCAAAACTCACTTGGAGCACTAGGACATTCTCATCCAGGGAACAGTCAGCTGCAATCTGATGTTTATAGATGTAATAAAAGACTTTCCAAATGAAGATGTATGTTTTTATAACCCTAGGGTGCAGTAAAGATATATGACTAAGAGTGGCAGTTCATCTCATCTTAAAGAGACAAAGATCCATTTCTCTGCCCTGTTCCTTTTCGAGGGGGAGACCTCTGCTAACCCTGATTCTGAAGAAAATGAGATATTGCTCCAGCACCATTTGGTCTTGCTTCTCCAGTCCTTTGCTAAACAGGAGGGCTAGGTGTCCTTTTGCTCCTTTCATTGCCCTGTCTTCTAGGTTTTTTATAACTCTGGCGAGGGCTGATACCCCAGGTGCACAGAGCTACCTTTTCCCTTAGTTGCTGCATTCATTTTGCTGTGATTCCCTCTGCAAAAGGAAACCCTGCTGCACACAGCTGCAACCTGTACACCTTGCTGATGGTCGCCAGCTCCTTCCTGCAGCAACCTAAAAGCCAACACCAACCCTTTTCTCAGCTCATCCTCCACTGGCACCACGAATGTGCAACGTTTGCAGATGCAGGTGTTCAGCAAGTCAGATTTTTGCACAGTACTTGGAGTGGTTCAGAGTACAAACAAATATTAGAACCCCTACTCCAGAAGATGCTGCAATAGAGCAATGTTGGGCAGAGCACAGGTCAGCCCAGGGCTTCCCACAGCCCATTCCCATGCTCGCAGTGGGCACAGGTACTTTGGCTTCTTGCCTGCTGATGCCTACCAAGCTCAGCAGGGAGCTTGTCTGAGGCATCACAGAATAAAGAGCTACCTTGCTATCCCTCTGGCAGCTCCTTTGCCTTCAGGTTTGGGCAGAAAGCAGGGATGGGGGAACACATCAGCAGCACCTTTTCCTGCGACTCCTGCTGTGGCTGGACCTGAGGGCTGGCAGCGAGCACCACCTTCCCTGTCAGATGGGGACCAGGTACACGCTGGGGCAGCTCAGGTTATGTGTGCCTGACACAGATGGCTTATTACCCACTGGCATGCGCACTGCTCGGCAGTGACTCTTTCTCTCCCGTCTTATCTGCTGGGATCACAGCCAGGGAACCACCTCCATCCCCCCACCTTTCCCAGCTCTCCCTGCCGTCCTGCCAGCCTCAATGGGGTGCAGCAGAGAGTGCATGGGATTGTGAAGATGGGCTGGTTTCCCCCCATCTTTTCTGCTGTGGCCAAGCAAGGTTGGGGGGACATTAGTGTCTGCCTTTCCCTGCCAGCATCAGACTGGAGAATTCCTGACACATGGCTCTTTCTCATGTGTGCTTATTCTTCTGGCCCAAGCCCCTGTCTGTATTTCACTTTCTGTGGCTTGTTTGGATGTGGACAGTCAGGGGAATTAAAGAACATCCAGGTGTACAAAAGCCTCAGGAAGGGGCGTGATTCAAGCTCAAGCCAGCATCTATGAATCACGTCATATCAAGCACCAAATTTGCTTGACAGCCCAAGCTAAACTGGGCTCTCTCGTGCAAGTCCCTGTTCAGGTGAGTAATCCTGAAGCAATTGGCCCCATCCTGATGCACGCATCCATGTGGGATGCATGTAAGGAGCAGCAGGTGGGAGTTGTATTTTTCTCTCACAGTCTCTGCCTCTTAATTCTTGCTTAAACTGCAAGCCTGAATGTGCTTAAAAAAGGAGAAGAGAGAGATCCCAGAATAAGAAGATTTAGGCACAGTGACGAGCTTCTGTCACTTTTACCAATAGCAATTTGCACAAGATATTGTGTCTTTAATTCTTTGGGAGAAAAAGCGGACCCTACAGATCTCTGGTTCAGTCACTGGTGGGCTCAGTGGTGGGAAAGGCAGGGCAAGACAATTCAGACATGGGCCTTCTAGCAGGCCGTTACAAGGGTCTTGCTGGAGCTAGGTGTCCCGTCATAAGCCAGTATCCCTTGGGAGAGACCCTGGGCTTTTCTCAGTGCAAACGCTAGATATCCTATTAGCTGAAAAAGCAAATAACTGAATGGCAAGCAAAGTGGGAGGCAAAGATGGTGCCTACAGCTCCAGCATGGCCAAGTGTCTCCAACACATGCTGGCGGGGCTCCCCGGCATGGAGGCTGCTAAGCAAGCAGTGGCAGGTGGTGAGCTCTCTCCACTTGCTGGCTTCCATCCTGACCAGGCATTGTTCTCTTTGGGTTTCCTTGGCCATTTCCCCCCGGGTGTGAGAGGATGCTTGTGTTGAAGGACCCGCAGAACAAACTGGAGACATGCAGATGGAACTGGGGATAAGCTCAGCACATTATGTGCTTTTTCATGTCACACCTCTAGTGAGATGTTTAAGGGCTTGTTCAGCCACCTGTGTGCTTTGCTGCCCTGACTTTGGAGCAGTAGGAAAGCCCCTGTGAATGTTTACCCCGTGTTTAGGAATGCAGTGGATCAGGCTATCCTGAGCTTCACAACAGATCCTTTCTCTGCTCTATTAGAAATGCCACAGACTTCATTTTGACCTCTCAGGAGTGTGCTCCTAGTAGGATTTGTTCATTTAGCTGTCATCTCCAGCAACACCACCAGTTCAGAGTGCTTGAACTCTACTAATTGCAGCCCCACACAGCCATCAGTTTGTGAGTTTTAAGCCTATTCCTCCACAAGGACACAGACCAGAGCCTTTCTAGGAAGGAGAAGATGCCCTTTTGATGAGCTTTGCATTTTAAATGCTCCAGAGAGAAGGAAAGGTTTGTCATTGGGTGTTTGGTGCTCCGCTTGGATAGCCATGCGCCTTCTGGTCTGAGGCCATGGTAGGAAGGACAGCACATGATGCAATGGCCCTGCAGGCCCAGAGCCAGCCCATGGTGATATGGCAATGGATGCTGCATCCAATGGATGCTCGGTGGGATAGTAAGTTTTTTCATTCCAACCCTCTCCCATGACTATGGCCAGGGAATGAAGAGCAGTTTCCTAGCAGGACTCTGGTGGATATCTCTTCTGCTGGATAAAAGCCACTGCTTGTATTTTCCTCTCGAAGGATCATATTTTCCAGTCCCACCTTTTACAGTCTTTGTTCTGCTGAAGCATGCGTCATTCTTTTCTAGCTGCCTGGGAGACTGCTGAAAAGAGGTGCATTACCTCCCACTGCTGTGAAAATTGGGGTGACCCCATTTTTGGCATGTGCTTGGACAAACTGCTTTGAGAAGCAGAGTCACGCAGGCAGAGTTGTTTAAGAAGGGAAGACTGGAACAGAGCTGGGTTTTTTTCTTTTAATGAATAGGAACAATTTCCCACTCTGTTTATTCTTCCCACTCTCAGCAAAACGTCAGGAATGCTTAAGATTAATGACAACCTATGTGAAAGAGAAACAGATACCAAGGAACATTAGTTCCATCACACTCAGTTCAACCTTCCTCCTCTTTCCATAGCAGCGTCTGTCTTATGTTTTGGCAGCCTACCATCAGAATTTTTCTTGCCCTTTTTAGCTAAGACCTTTGGAAATCCTCATTTTATAAAATTCAGGGAGGAAAGAGAGACCTTGCTGACTCAGTGAGCTGCGCTCTGCACAAAGCAGAGCCATGCGCTGTCAGCTGGAGTGAAAAATGAGGGCCCTGGGAGAGTGCGAAAAGTCATACACGGGCTTACAAAAATATACGGTTAGCTTCATGTCAGGGGGAAAAAAGGTACGTGTTCTTGAAAGGCCTTCAGTCAACTTCCCAGCTGGTATAACACAGTGGCATTCCCCAGCAGAGCCTCGCCAGCCCTGTTCACTGGTCTTTCTCTGTGCTGGGGCAAATGGTTATTGGTTACCCATGCCAGACGGTACACAGAGTTATGCTCCAGTTAGACCTCATCTTTTCTGATCTTGTAAAGCAAATAACGTACTCCTGGACCAGAAGAGTGATGCTGTTCCAGCAGACTTTGTTACAACAGGGAAATAGTTTAGGAGACAGCTTCTTTTCTCTTCACAATCGTGTGTCTCTTGGCTTTGACTACCTCCTTCTGGCAGCAATGGCAGTCACTGACATGGGACCTGTTCATGGCTTGTAACAAATCTTACTGTGATAAAGTTCTTCCCTGTTTCCTAAGCTTCTTTGTTGTTTTTGTTCTCCATTCGCCTTTGCTCTCTGCATGTACAAACTCCCCATTGTTGCTTCTCTGCCCACCCCTCATCCTCCTACACTGCCTTGCTGTGCCCTTTTCCTACAGACATTCCTGCCGCAGCTGATGTGAGTGCCTCAGAGAGGGGCTCCAGTTCCCTGTGCCTCCCCATCTGAAAAAAAAACAGTGCTGTGAGACACTGTGTTTTCTCTTGAGTAATACAAGAGCCTAAGCAAGAAGAGGAGATGGGACCTGCAATTAACTTGAGCCAGATGAGGAGATGAGACCAGCAAAACTGCCTTGCTGCTATCGCAAGAGCCTTACCCGTTCCTGCAAACTACTTTTTTCCAGCCCCCAGACTTTCTGGCTCCCTCCTGTTTCTTCTGTGCACTCTGCGTTTACAAGATAATCTTAACCTCTTGCCTTTTGTCTCTCCTGTCTTCCAATTTTACTGCTCCAAACGATGTCTCCTAGCCTACCTCAGTGGCCAGCCTCTGCCTATAGCTCTACTATGTATAGATTAGGGCTCTTGCTCAGGCAAGAGAGAGTGGCAGGAGATGTTGCAGATGCACAGATGAGAGAGATGGCGAGCCAGATGCTCTACAGGAATTGCCACAACGAAATGCTGTGCTCCATCATCTGAGAGCTCCTGGCCTGAGCATAAGACTGACAGGAAAAGAGAAATGGTAGGAGTGCCACTCTTGCCTGTGTTGTGAGCTGGGCAACGTGCTCCAGACGTGTTGTTTCATCCAGGCCCTCCTTAATCTTGTCAGGTGTATTTAAATATTTATTACACTTAGAGCTACCGTGCCTACAGCAGACATTATGCTCTCTCATCAGCAATTTGGAAATACCATGGGGTTCAAATGTTGTGCTCAGCTTCTCAGCATAGCTTTGCTGAAAGATGAACAAGTTTAACAAAATACTGCAGAACAGGCTTTCAAACATTGTCTGTTGTCTGAAAAACCCCACTCTTCCATGTGAGATTTCCCCCAGGACATCAGTGGTGCTGAGTCAGATTGGAGCTAGGCACTGGGAAAGTTTCCCCATCCAACCTCACCCTCAGATATGTTGAAATTTAGGGACATTTTTTTAGCTCTCCTCCAGAACACTGTGATCAAACACTTACTCTGCTGCAGTGACAACCATGACACCATCATCTTTCCTCCTTGTATCATAGCCATGTAATTCCCATGTGCAAATGTTCACAAATTCAGCTTTAGTATACGCAGTTCAAAAGGGTCATTTTACCTGAGAGCTGCCCAGTGGCAACAGGAATCACTTTGTATGGAGACCTGGAAGAGTCAGAGGTTGATATTAGCAACACCCAGAAAGCAGTTTGTATTTCACATCTGTACTCCCAGAGAATCTGAATATATTCCAGGATCTCTTAAAACCTGTCAGTTTAAATATGAAATGGGCACTTTTTATGAGCACATGACCCTCCAATTCACTGCTGAACGAGAGACAGAGATCCTTCTTGTGCTGTACTGTCACGCAATAAATGTGGTAAAAATGCCTGTTCTTTGGCAGGCCTTGTTAGCTTGTGAAACGAGAATGTAAGGAAATTCTTTAGGTCAGGAGGAAACTCTGGTGGTGGGGATCATCTTTTTGCTCTGTGTTCACACACTGTCCTGTGCAGTAGTTCCTTCCCAACTGCTTGGGCCCTGCCACATGGTGTCAGTTAGAGTAGTGCCACTGATAAGTAATGATGAAATATGCAATGAAGTAAATAACATCACAAGGAGTAACTGTGAACAGTCAGAATGAAATTAAAAGTACTGGGATGAATAAGCAACAGGAAGCCAAGCAGAAAGGGATCTGGGGGTGGGAAGGGCCAAAGCCAGCATGGAGGAAACCTAACTTCATCAAAGAGTGAATTCACATTGCAGGTAATATCATGGTTGTGTCCTAGCAGAGCAATAAAAGAGTGGGTGAACAAAGAAGCTGGAAGCTTTGACAACAGACAGGGTGGGATGGGAACAGATGTTCTACATTAAATACTTAAAAGCAGTATTTTTCCCTCAGACAATTACTCCTACTTTAATAGCAAGTAAAAATCTTCAAAGCCAACAGGCATTAGTGTTATAAGCCAGCATTCAACTCTTACTGTCATCTCTCTCCTCCAAGGAGCTGCTCACCTCCTGCTGCACAGAAAAGTCATCTGCAGGCAACCACCACCCCTTCCCTTGGGTTGACCTGAGCTTTGAGGAGCAAGCTGCAGCAAGGCTTACCTCTCCGAGTTTGCAGGCATTGTTGGATCAATGGATACCATGCAGTTGTCTGCTGTCAAAAGGGAGATTGTTGTATTCCTGTAAAGCATGTTTCAAAGAAGTTTATTTGAGTTGGAAATGCTGTCTGAAATTCTATGCATACAGCACACAGCCACCTTCTCTCCTGCAGCACTCCTGGCCTGGTACTGTCTCTGACTCATTCTAGCTGCTGCAGAACGGGTCAAAGCACAAGACAGGGTAGGCTTGATGCTTCACCCACTTCAACTACCAGAGATGTTTCTGGCAAAACGTTAAGTGAGATCATCATTGATCTCAGAGCAGATTTTCCTCCCTGCTAACTCATGGGTTCTGTTGACTCATCAACTATTAATTTCTGTTAAAAAGCTATGCTTTGTGATACATTGACTTGGCAGCTATGTATTGACTCCCACTATACAAATGACTACCGGTGCTATGAATGCCTTGAAATTATTTAGTTACTCTCTTACCAAAACAAATAAAACAAATATCTTGCTGAATATGGGGTGGGTTTTTTACTGTTTTTTCTTTATACCATGCTAGGTGTGATCTCAGAGGCTTAGATGTAAACTTTGGAGGTTTACTTTGGCTCCAGGAGCCTGGTTGAAATGCACAATTCTTTGGAAGTCTTCTGATTAAAGCAAAGTGCCATATATGCAGTTAACGCCCTGATCATGAAGCACTAAAACTGCTGAACAAAGTTTCTTGGGTGATGGAGTGGAAGTAATTGACATCACAGGCAAATGAGACTTATTAACTTCTCTAATATCAAATGGGAGGAAATAGCCAGGATAAACAGCAAAGGGCATTAATTCTGTCGAGCAGCTTATGCAAATTCTCAGTCAATATAGACAATTTTATCTTTCAATCCCCAGAGCTGGAATCATGCAATAAACCCATGATTAAAGGACTTTTTTTACTCTGTGCCTTTTCTGTATTGTAAACCTGTGTGTACAAAGGTAAAGACAATGGCTTATTGCATGCTGGTGTGCATCTGGCCTGTGTTGCTCAAGGTCTCTATGCAGACAGCAGATGCTTCCTTCTAGATGTGACTAAGGGGCTTCCCTCCCCATGCACCACCACCCTGGATAGGTGGTACAGAAGTGGCTGGTACTATACCATGCCTCCCACAATGGTATCTCCTACCACAACACACACCTACACCTGATCCTGGATCTCTCCCAGCACAGAGATTTAAGTTAGATGCTGCTTTCTAGGTTGAAGGTAAGAGAAACAAACCCTACAGGAGATACGTGGACTTTGCAGGACAGTGTAAATTAGGAAATACTTGGTCTGAGCAACGGATTTGGCGATATTTAAATTCTATAAAATGATTCTAATGCGGTAATTCATGCTTGGCTATCCCATACCTGGGATTATATTGTACTGTACCTAAATAGAAAGTTTATCATCTAGTGGCAATGCTTCTCATTGGCTCAAACTTCTCCCTTAAAAAACAGGTTCTAAAGATATGGTTGCATTTCACTCAATATGGGCAAAAATATAGTGCTGAGCTGTAACTGGGAGGTTATAACTCAAGTGCATTCGCAGCGGGGATTCTGCACTTGCTTTTACTTTTTTTAGCTCATATCCCTTCTGTTCTACTCTATTCCACTCTGTTCCCCAGGTGCAGATGGCACTGAGGTGGCTCAGTTCTTGTCCGGGCTTCATGCACTTTTCCAGCTTGTGCTCTCTGGATTGCCTCAATTTCTTCCTCCAGTAGACTGGAATGAGAGGAAAGCCTGAATAGCTGATAAATTAATCATTTGGGGCCTGCCTTTACATTGTGCCCAGAAGTATAGGAACAAGAGTGAAATGAACGTCACAAATGAAGAGAGACCTACCTTGGTAACCCTGTTGCAATGCAGAAGAGATCCATAATATCTTTGGAATTGCAGTATTTACTAAAGATCACCTTCCAAACCGAACAGCAGCGGAGGAAAAAACCATGAAGACAAAGAAAAAAAAGGACAGTTAGTTCCCAGTGAGAAATGATCTCTATTCAGGCATGAACTGGGCTAATTTTAAGACTTATCCTACTATTTCAATTATCTGATTTGACTTGAGAGCTGGAATATTTCTCTACGCCTGTTTAATACCTGTGTCTTTTTTGATAAAGCGAGCAAGCTCTGGAGACCTAATTGCACTGTTCAGAAGTAGAGCAGTAATATATGTGAACTGAGAGCAAAAGTTTTCTCAGAATGCAGTATTGCTGCAGGATTAGAACAACTGCGAATTTAAGGATGTAAGAGCCCAGATTTAGGAAGAAAACAGTCCAAATTTGGGGAGGTCCTTGGATGCTACAAAAGGGCACTGCTTTTTGAGCTACACTGGCTTAAGCTAGCTTTAAACTGACAGAGTCTTTTCCCATTTTCCCCCAGGTTGTGCCAAATTTCCCACTGACTCTCAGGCTGTATCATTCCTGCTGTTAGGTCAGAACTCGGACCTTGAATCTGCCATCTACCCATCTACCCCAGAACATCCCCCTGCCCAGCATATGCCAGGCAGCCCCTATGCCCAGAAGACTGTTCGAGCAGCACGTCTAAGAGTACAACATCCCCATGATCCCATTGTGATACAGCCCTCAATGACATGATCCCTTGCCACAATTTCCACAACACTCCTGCATCCATTAGGACATGCAGGTGATGGTGCTCCCTAGTTGAGAAGCTTTACTGCAGCCAGGGTGGGGGGCTGAAAGCCTCTCTGCTTTTGATTTACTATGGTGGAGGCTTTGATCCTACTGTGGAAATGAAAAGCCTCACTGCAGTCAAATCCAGCTCACCTTTTTGAAGCCAGGGACAACAGCAAATGGTGGGGTTGATTCGTCTGGGGGATGCTGGTATTAATGGGGCATACCCCAAGAAGAAACAGCCACCGACCCTCTGGGTTCAGAATGCAGCAGCTCAGAGGGACTTGTGAAGACCTAATGGCAAAGTTCAGGAGGAACAAGAAAGTGGTATTTTGCAGATGACGTCTGATGCATAGGGAGATCAAGGCCAAAAGTCTCCTCTTTTTGTGAGTGCCTTGCTGGGAACACTATTTTCCATCTCCTCCCAACCACCCATAGCATCCCACATTCTCAGGCACGTTTCTACTGCTGTCCATCAAGGGCACGGGCAGTGTGCGTGGTCACAGATCAGCCTTGAGGCTGCTGACCCAGAAAATGAGGAATGTGCCGCCCAGGATGGCCTTCCAATGGTTTGTTTTCCCTGCCCTGCCTCATGCTGCCAGGAAGAGAGAGGGGCTGTGGGCACCAGGGTTGCAGGCAGTGGGGAATGCTGTCACCCTCCCTGGATCAAGCAGTTCAGACTGGTGAGGACTATGCTAGAAAAATAAGAGGTCATCATCCAATTAAGACTCTTCTGAAAGGTGTAGGTGCCAGGAGTTAACAGCCTGGAGGCTTACTCCAGCAGCCTTGGCCTCCGAGTGCTTTAATTCCTAAACTGTAATAGCACTGCAGTAACACTGTTCCCATGTGCTGTTTCTAAGGTGCCTTTCAGACACCGGGGGAAATCCCTCACATGGAGGTGTTGCATGGTGTCAACCCAGACCTCTGCCGCTGGCAACGAGGAAGCAGTGGGAGAGCCTGCAGGATGCTCTGCCAGTGAGGAACTGGTAATGCCTGCTCACAGCCTGGGACGTGACAAACCTGGAAGTTTCAAGAAAGTAGGTACAACACTGCAGCATCTGGCCAGCAACTATTGTGCCTGGGGTGTGATGCACTGATGCTCAAGACGATGCTGAAGCAAGGCTTCAGACCTCAATTTTCACTGTCAGTGAGGAGCACTCTTACTCTTGCATGAAGCATCAGGGGTTTTGTGGTAGAGAAGAGGATAGTACTGGTCACCTCAAGAGGTGACTGTGACCAATATGTGCATGCACACCCATCTCTCCTGTTTTCCAACCTGGATGAGATTATACCAGGCGATATCTTTACTTCATACAACATCAAGGCACTTGATCGTTGCTATAGTTAGTAACTGCTACCAGGGAACTGAGTGGGATGAATGCCCAGGTGTGTTTTAAAAGCCTATTTTGACCAGTGATCAATTGTTGATTATTAAATACAACAGTAATCAAAGCAATAAAACATAGCAAGTCAAGTTCAGATAGGTCTGAAACCCCACTTCCAGCAGATTACAGCATCCCATTAGAGTGATAGCTGCTAAAATTGTCTGACAGGGTATTGGTGGGTACAACGTCTGGTACATGCAGTAACGAAGCAGAGAAGCAGATGATGTTAATTGCGGCTGAACAGAGGTTAAAGGCGTGTGATGTGCCAGGAGTGCTATTTAAGGTATTGAGGTTTCTTATTCTGGAAATCAATTATTATTGACCAGGACAGATAAGAGAGGAAAAGATTAAAAGAAAAAAAAAAATCAAAAAACATTAAAGGTAAGAAAGCCGGCCTGACTCATAGAAAGCAGCGGGAGCTTTCAGTGCATTAAGGATGGATTTCAATGCTTTTTTTACACCATGTCGTAGTGAAAGTGTGGGAAGCAAAACATGTATATCCTAGATTGTGAGCTATCTCTGTACATGCTTTTTACTTTTCCATACTTGGCATTTTTACTTAAGTTTGCTAAAAGTGGATTTGTGAATTACCCACTGCACTTTGATACTACTCATCTCAGGATGGTTGTCCTCAGTTGCTTGAGGTTTTTGAGATTTTTTGGTTGGTTGGTTGGTTGGTTGGTTGGGTTTTTTTAACCAAAGAGTGCTACTAAAATAGTAAAAGAGTGCTACTAAAGTTTACTTCTGTTTCAGCCTACTGAGCTTTTCTGACAAACTTCCTCCTGTTCTGAAACAAAGGAGCCAGCCTCACACATTTCCCAGCAATATGCAATTGTTCCTGTTCCTGTCTGCACATTTATGTTCCCAATACACTTGATGCCGATTGTGCTGATGGAATATGATTGGAATGTATTTTGGAGAGACAGGAGGGTGGTATTGCATACTATTGACGAGACCAGCACAGTATAGGAATGCTATTTGCCCAAAGTCCATTATCATTGCAGGGACATTAACAGCATGAAGGCGGTAGAGTGACAACTTGGCTTGCAGCCATACTTCCGTCATCTGGGACACATGGTTTCTCCCATGACCAGGGAAGATGGTTGATCTGCAGCTCTGACTGTGGAGAACCCTGTAGGCACTAGCTGCGTAACTGACCATTTTATCCCATCCTGTGAAGATGTACTTCTTGGGCAGACGTCCTGAAGCCACTGCTGTTCAGCCTGGGTCTCCACGATGACACTTTTCTGGTGCTGTTTGTCGGTCTGATCCAGACCCACAGTCAGCACTGAGGGAATTCATCCACCTTCAAACCTGTCTCAAATGTCACTGACCCACAGTCATCATCTTTCTTAGGTCCCTGTTCCTATGCCTGGGTGGCAATCCACTGCTGTGACGTGTCTCATAGCATCTCACTCCCTGTGTTAATGCCTGGCGCTGGAAGATATCACTGCTTAGGATAGGACTGAGACCTTGCTATGGAGCATAACAGAGGCCAAATACAACAGAGGCCAAATACAGGAGACCACAACAGTTTCTACAGCTGTGGTAGTGGGCTAAGATCATACACAGACAGGTTTGTGTCCCCAAAATACATGTCAAAAAGTACATAGTCATGCAAGTCAATACAGCCCAAAAAAGCCAGGGGTGCAGCTCCAGATACCTCCTGCGAGAAAGAGCGGACAAAGGGACTCCAGTATTGCCTGCTGGTACAAGAGCCTCCTGCAAGACTGGTCAACAAAAGACACTGAGTTGCCAGCATCATTTCTGAAAGCAAAGACAGAGCCAAAATGCTGTGTAAACAGAGTCACAGTAGCGATACACTGCAGGGGAAAGAGAAACAGAGGCCTCTGCTTCAGCTTGCAGATTAATGACTAAATGCCATGAAGAAAACCACCCTGTTAATTGCATTTCTTTTGGGTTTGTGCCAGAAGGAAAAGAATGTATTCCTCAAAATTGAGGCAGCATCTGCAAATGATTCGTTTCCTCTATTTGAGAGTTAAGGTTATTTCATATTTCTGTCACTTTTAGCAAATCTTCTACTATGTGTAGAAAAAATGGCAGGAAAACTCATCTTCTCTGAATGCTTATCTTGATTGTCTCAATGAGTCTCCATCAAGACCAAGAAACAGACATTTGATTTAAGTGGGGAATGCTGTCTGTCTGCCTTGGACAGTAATGTGAAGCAAAGGAGGGGAAAAGCAGAATGAATAATAACTGAGGCTTTTTGGAGTGGAAATAATATTTTGATGAAGCACTCATGCATTGGCTGCGAAGGAGGACAGCATGACTCGATGGGGATGCCTGGTTCCTGGCCCTAAGGTTCCTTCTGTGGGACTGGTTTCTTCCCTGAATACAGTTCTGCAGTTTTTGAAACATCTTCCTCTGAAAGAATGGGCCTTTGTCTCTTAATCCATAGTATCCACCTGTGGTGTAGGACAAGGATTTTAAAACCCCTCTCAGAGAGAGTAAGGATTAAGAGCCCTCCCACTCAGAGGAGCAGTTCAATATTAAGGACTGTGATGGAGATATTACTAAGGGACCATGGTGCATATACTCTGCAACATACCAGTTTACAATTAATCACATTATATTTTGTTTTCAGGGTAAAAACGCAGCTTACAAATCCAATTTCTGCTCTGTATTTGATCCTCAGAACAGCTAATCCTCTCTGTAAACTGCAAACCCTGTCCAAAATGTTATCCTGTTCTGATCTGACGTTGTTAACTGTGTTTTCTTCCAAGAATTTAACTTGTGTTTGTTTTTTAGTTTTTTTAGCTCCAGTAAAATTCCTACATAAATAATGCAGAACTATTTTCAAAGCCAGTATTCCCTCAGTTTCCAGTTCTACCTCCTTTTTCAGGTCTCAGACTGCTGTGTTTGACTTCTAGCACTTGG